TTTCTGGATCAGAGGTTAAGTATGTTTGTATTTATTAAGAAACTTATTATTTCCCAATTGGCTATAGTACTTTGTATTCCTACTAAGAAGTTTATAAATTTTAGTCATTCCACGAGTATGATGGTACATGCCTGTAGTCTTACTACTCAGGAGGCTGGTGGAGGATTGTTTGAGTTAAAAAGCAACCAGGATCTGGAAGTGTAACTCAAGTAGGTAGATAGTGCCACCTAGCAAGCACGAAGCCATGAATTCAAACCTCAGTACTGGCAAAAAAGAAAGAAAAAGAAAGAAAAGAAAACCAACCCAGGCAACACAGAGAGACACCTCTGTGAATAAGATAATTTCCATTTTGGGCCATTCAGTGTTGTAGGTACTATTTTATTATGGTTTTAATTAGCACTGCTCTGAATACTAATTGCTTAATGATGCCTTTTGAAGATCAGAAGATATTAATTGTCATGAAGTCCAGTGAACCCATTTTTCTTTTATGATAACTTTTTTTGGGTAATACTGGGGTTTTGAACTCGAGGCTTTATGCTTAGTAGGCAGGTGCTCTACTTCTTGAGCCACTCGTCCAGCTGATGGTAACAAATTTTGTCCCTTTGAAAACTCTGTGTACCCAATAATAAAGATTTTTTTCCTGTGTTATGTTTTTGTAGAGGCTTTATAGTTTTAGGTGCTATTTTTATGTCTGTAAACTCATTTCCAGTTAAGTTTCATGGGTTCAAGGTATAAGTTTGAAGTTCGTGGTAGTTCATGGGTTTTTTCCATTTGGTTTGTTCTAAAATATTCGTTATGAAGATACCTTTCCCTGTTGAATTATGTTTGTTGGTGATGTGCTGAAAATCAGTATCTAGTTTCTTTTCTGTTCTGTTGATCTCTATTCATTCTCTTTATGTTAGTACCACATTATCTTGACTACTGTGTTTCTGTAGTAATTCTTGAGATCAGGTATAGTGAGCCTCATCTTTATTCTTTTTCAAAATTATTTTGGCTATTCTGAGGCCTTTGAATTCTTACGAAAGTTTTAGAATCACATAATCAGTTTTTGCAAGCTGGTATTGTGTTGATCCTGTAGCTTGATTTTTGTATCTTAACACCCTTAGCAAAGTTATAAAGCTAGGCAGTTGTATCAGAGAGCACAAGTCCAGATTGAAGCTACAAGACATAATGCTTTGTGAAGTATACTTCCCCAAACAGAAAACTGTACTACAGCGCCATACTAACAAAAACAACATGGTATGGGCACAAAAAAAGATGCAGAGACTAGTGGAACAAAATATAAGACTCCGAAATAAAACTATATACTACAGTCATCTGATCTTTGATAAAAGAACTAAAAACATGCACTGGAGAAAAGACAGGCTCTCCGACAACTGGTACTTGACAGTTGAGTATTGACAGGCAGAAGACAGAAACTAGACCCTTCTCACTGAATAAAACTCAACTCCAAATGGATCAAAGATCTTAAAATAAGACCTGAAACTTTGAAATTACTACTGGAAAAAAATAGGTAAAACTCTAGAAAATACAGAGATAGGACTCCAATTGCCCAGGAAATAAGAGAAAGAATTGACAAATTGAATTACTTCAAATTAATCTGTACCTCAAAAGAAACAATTACCAAAGCCAAGAGACAGCCCACAGAATTGGAGAAAAATCTTTGCAAGCTATTGAACAGATAAAAAATTAGTATCCAGAATATATGAAGAGCTTAAAAAAATTAAACAGCAAAAGAAAAATAATCCAATTAATAAATGTCAAATGAATTGAACATTTCTCAGAAGGAATACAAATGGCTAATGAGTACATCAGGAAATGTTCAATATCCTCAGCAATAAAGGAAATGCAAATCAAACTACATTAAGATTTCACCTCACCCCAGTCAGATTGGCAATCATCAAAAAAAACAAACAGCAGGGCAACAAATGCTAGTGCTAGGATATGTTGGTAGGAATGTAAACCAGTACAACCACTGTGGAAATTAGTACAGAGGTTACTCAAAAAAACTAAAAAATAGACCTATTTTCATGACCCTGCAGTACCACTCTTGGGCATATATCTGAAGGAATGTAAGTCATTAAACAAGGGAGATACCCATGTTTATTGCAAAGCTGTTCACAATAGCTAAACTGGAATCAGCTGAGATGTCCAACAGCCAATGAATGGATGAAGGAAATTATATATATACATGTGTGTGTGTACACACACATCATGGACTATCACTCAACCATAAGGAAAAATGAAATTATTGATGGAACTGGAGATTATGTTGAATGAGATAAAGCAAGCTCAAGAAACAATATTGCATGTTCTCACTCATTTATGCAACCTAGACCTAAAATATTGATGATGATTTTGATGATAATGGAACATGAATAATGTGTTAGGGGGATGTCTGGAGGGGACCAATGGGACAGGGGGGAAAGGAAAGGAAAGGATACTGAGGGTGAAGAGATTGAAGTATTGTATATATATGAAGAGAACATAATGAAACCCACCAAACACTTTGAAAAAGGTGGATGAGGCGGGAAATAGGAACATAATAAGAGTGGTGAACTTGTTCAGAGTACATTGTACACATGTATAGAATTATCATAATGAAATCCCTAATATTTATGTATGCTAATTCAATAATCCCTGCCTTTCATATATTAAAACTGTTAAAAACTTTGATCTGTCTCTAGAGATTTTAATTCTTTAGGAGAACTTCAAGATGATAATGATAACTGAAATGTAAGCAGAGACCATTTTAAGTTCAGATAAAATATGATGTAAAAAAGGAACTTTACTACTATACAGTATGGCTCAGCCAGGATGAACACACATAATTAAATAGTGAAACTTTGAATATTGATGTAACAAGAATAGTTATGTACTATGAAAACATGGAACAGAGAAGTGTGAGAGGTTTGTGGAGTAAGGGGAGGTGTTTTTTCATAAAGGAATGTCTAGAATTTAAATACTGTATTGAAGAACAGAGTTATGCCAGAAAATCCAGCTGAAATTGAAGGAGATTAGCAGATGATGCCTGGCACATTATCAATTACAGCTACCTTGCTAATCAATAGGGTTAGAAATCTCTTTGCATTGAGAACAAATAAAATTTAGTGTTGTGCTCAATGCCTCATGTATAACAAGCCTTCAGGAAAGCAGTTTGTAGAGTCAGTGTTAGAACTGAAAGAAGCTTTAGAAAGGTAATTACATCTAAATGAGGTGTTAGAGAATATACATCATTTAACAAAACCTATCAGTGTGCTTTCAGCTGCAAATAAACATGTATCAAAAATTCCAGATAAAGGACAGCTCCAGGTTAACTTACCAGTTGAAAGATTTCATCATGGATCCAGTTTCTTTCTATGTACGTCTTTGTTGTGTTGACTGGAAGATGTTCTAGGCAACATCGCCTCAGTTAGGATCCTAAGTTAAGACTAGATGGTGGTATGAAGCTTTCCCAGAATCCTGTCTCTATGTTCACTGACCTCTCAGCCAAAGTGAAGTCATGTTTATTCCTAAAATAATCACTAGCTAAAGGGAGTAGAATTAGCCATAATCAGCTTAATAGGAGCTTAAGTAAAATTCTCGAATATGATGGAAATGTTATGTACTCATGTATGTAAGTGGAAAAATGAGACCTGTTGAAACTATTCCAGGAATAGGGGGAGGGGACATAAAGGAGAATAATAGGGGGATGAATTCAACTGTGATATAAGAACTTTTGTAAATGTTACATTGTACCTCCAGTACAACAATAATAAAAATAAAATTTTCTCACACTCATGCCTCTCTCTCTCTCTCTCTCTCTCTCTCTCTCTCTCTCTCTCTCACACACACAGAGAGAGAGAGAGAGAGAGAGAGAGAGAGCGAGCGCTACTTTATAAAAATTGTGGTTTGGGGGAAGGGGGCTTAATTATAGGGAAGACAGTTGTCAATATTGGCACACTAAGGTCCTAGAACAAGTTAGTGGTAGAGCCTACACTAGAACCCTGTTCTCCTGATTCTCAATTTAACTTTTCCTTCTTGGCATAAATAACTTTATTTGCTTAATTACATTACTACTTTTCATAAGGATCTTGCATATATCCACACTTCTGCCTCAATTTCTTTTGAAAAAAATGGGCTATAAAACTATACATGCTGTTTTTTAGTAAAGTAAAACTATAACACGTAATTGTTAAGAATACAGTGTTATAAAGTTCATGATAAAAACTGAAAACTACCACCTTTTAAGCCTCTTTCTTTGTTCTTATTCTTCTGTCTTCTCATTTTAAACTACTTGCAGTTACTTCATTGTATCATATTTATACTTTGTGCATTTGCTCATCCTGTCCATCCCTTTTTATGGCTTCCTTAATCATTTGAATATCTCAGATTTCAAGTATTACTGTCTCTCTGAAACCTTTCTTGACTTATCTCCACCCCCCCCAAATTGGTTGTGCCACTATGTTCCACTGTATCATGTTCTAAATACATTTATAGTGTGATTTCTTTGCACATTTGTCTTCATTTTCTGGTCTGAGCTCTTTTGACTTGTTTCTTTATGATAGAGATTATTTCTTCATTAAGTCACCACTATTAGCTTTACATAATGAATTGATGTACTAATTTGGGGATTAGGAGTGAGATTTTTTTTAAATTGTCCTACTTAGTTTTGCTTTCAGCTAAATAGAATAAAGACATGATTCTATGATCTCTGCTTTTTATTTTGAAAGATTTTTTTCCAGAGGGAAGAGTAATTCCTATAAGCATAATTATTTCTGTGTATAAAATTTTAACTAGCAGTTAAAAGACTCTTGGAGGAAAGCATTTTAAACAATGTTACTACTGCTTGGAGAGCAGATTTAGTGCTTAGCTGTAGAGACTTACCAAGGAGAAAAATAAGCATTACAGATTTATTCGTAATGCAAATTAGATTCTTGGTAAACATTTGTTTATATAGTAGATATGCTGTAAATAGAATAATTCACTTTATTATCTTTCATTTTAGCATTTATGACATTAACAAAGAACAGGACTATGTCAAGAATTCTGGGGGCTTATGTGATGAAAAAGAATTAAGACCACCCCCACAGCAACATTCTCTCTTAGAGAAGATCGAGACAGGGCTCCTATCAGAAAACAGTGGGTATTAAGTTAAGTGCTGTAAGTCATTACTAATGGATCTAAAATAGAATTATAAAAGAATTTAATTTAATTTAGGTCATGTAAAACGAAAAGATTTTTTGAAGACTTGTAATTTCCACTAGTTACAACTTTTATAGTCCTTAGTCTAAATTTGATGGGTTGATAGGTGATTAAGTTTTCAAATTGCATCATAAAATTGTTTTTCCTTTATTTGTATTTCTTTGAATTACGATTTTTTTGTTTCGGAGGCAGCATGCCACTGCACAGCCTAGGCTGGCCTTGTTCTTGTGATTCTCCTGCCTTAGCCTCCTGAGCACTGGGATTACAGGCATGTACCATCATGCCTGCCTCCAACAGGCACTTTTCAAGTTTCTTTATTAGACGTTGTTTTAGGTAACTTTATGTGGAATAGCCTCTTCATTTCCTTAATACCCAGATAACCTTGAAAGTTTAACCATGACTGTCTCTCCACAAAAAGAGGCCATTCATTTATGAAGTGTTAATATCGCTCAGTGCCCTAATTACACTCGTAAATGAAAGTACATTGTGTAAACAAGAGAGAGCATCGATGATTTTATGGATAAAATTCTCATCCATCTCATTTACTGACAGAAACTCGTACTTTTTTGAAAATATAATTGAGGTTGTTATTAGGTAGCTGTGAAAGTTTCAAGATTTGCTGTTGTTTCCCAACAACTTTGCTTTTGACATTCTTTTCCTTCTGCTAGCCAGAAAAGTATTACTTTTATAAATATACTGCCATTTGAAGAGTGCTGACCTAACAGGGAAAAGCCTTTTTAGCTATAAGTACATAGTTTTAGAAATAAAGTTATGTTCAAAGCACAAAATAATTTGTTTCCGACTTGTTCCTTCTTGTTCGTGTTAAATCATGAGACTCGTGGTTTAACTGAACTGGTATTCTCCATAGTTTAGTTAAAGTAGCCTCTGATCATATGTAATCGGGCAACCTGTGTTAAAGTTAAGTTGGTTGTACTTGTAGTTACACCACCTCTTACAATTTTCAGTATATTATTGTGCATTATGATGCTCAAAAATGGGGATGTAAATAGTATTCGACTCTTTCAAAATATAATATCTGTGCCTGTCTCTTTAATATCTTGTGGAATCTAGAGGCAGTGATAATCATGGTCTTCATTTTCAAAGCTGCTTTTTTCCTTTACTTCTTTGTCTACTATAATCAAATGTTTCTCAAATATTGGGTCTAAGAGTATATATAATTAGATTTTTGAAAATTATCTTGCTTTTAAAAATATGTAAAATTTTCAAAATCAGAGTTTATAAAGGATTCTTGATTTGTATTTGGGCTAGCAGTGCAGATTATTTGTAAGGAGAGTTTGAAAATGAATAGGTGTTGAAAACACATAGGCTTCCAGTTTGTTTTGACTAATACAGTCTTAGGAGACCAACTTTTACTGTCTTCCCTTATGTTTTGCTATTTGAATCTATTTAGAATATCTGGTTTTTGATCCAGAGTCACTGACTGGTCCTGCCCAGCCCCCAAGTAACTGACACTCCAGGTGCATGGAGTGGTACCCAGCTCAGAATGTCCTTGTTTCTTATACCATTGGTATTGAAGACGAAAGTGAAACCAAACAAATGTAAAAGTAAAACTTAGAATGTATAGACCAAGTGCACTAAGTCACCAAATTCTTAAAACATTTCATCCTTTTTTTTTCTTTCCTTCCTGTTTTCAGTCTTTTATCTTAATACAAAAATTGATAATAGAAAGTTTAAGGGATTTTTTAAAAGACCTTGATAATTGAAGTATTAGGACAGTTTACTCCAAATTAATTTACTTAAAAAAGGTTGCTTGCATTTCCTTTATAGTCTAGTTTTAGATAATAATAGGTAACAGCTAGTTACATCTGTTCTTCATAAGTTAATTTTTATTAAAATGCTTTTTTCTCTTTAATGTTGAATTTAATGCAGTTGGCAGAGTTTGGATGAAAGTAGAAAGCCATAATAATGTACTTATTTATACTATATGACCAAAACTCCCAGTGCTATTCTCATTATAAGTAGCTTTGTAAAGATAAACAGAACAGAAAGCATACAAATAGAGTATAAAAAGTTCAGTGGTTAAATGTTGTTGTATTACTAAATACAGCTAATAAGACTCAATTCTTGCTGAGATAAAAACCAGCAGAAGATTAGAAGGTCATCAACAGAATTGCTGGATTCAATCAGTAATTCTCAGTTAGGGACATGCCCTTCAGGAGAGGGAATAGCGCACTCTCTGTGTGTAGCACTTGTTAGAGATCGGTAAAAAGCGTGTTCAGAAATGTGGTCAAGTTTTATTTTGCAAACTGAAAAACAATTAGGATGCATCTCATGGGAAGTAAAGCTCTGTAGACTCCTCTTGGCTACTGGGAAAACCTCGGAAATAGAATGATTTCCGCTGTGCTTGGTAGGTGAGCAGTAGTAGGTCCCTTAAAAGAAACCTGGCAGACTTATTGTGGAACTTGATGAGAAAATAGAAAGGGAAGGTTTGTTAGAATGTGGCATAGGTTAAAAAAAAATAAAAAACTAAAGAGTAAGAAACACTGGTCTAAGCATTTGCAGACCTTGATATAATTACTTCTTCTGTTGTGCAGTGCACAGTCTCAAACCAACAGGCTTACAGGTCTGGCAGGGGACTGCTAAAAGTAATTCTCCCTCACTAATAATTTGTTTAGATTATTTTCTTCACATGAGAGGTCTTTTAAAATTCAGGACAGTACAGATAAGGTTGCTACAACACATCATGATTTTCTTAGTTAGAGAGGAAAGGAATAGGTGACGTATTGAGTGACATTCATTGTGCCCCTTCCTTTTATTATCTTACACAGTAACATGGTTTTTGTTTGTATTTTACAGTTTTTGAGACAGTGTCCTTGAGTTCAGATTCTCTCTTCCAGAGGGCAGTTTCAGTTCTCCACACTTCTTACTTGGATTCTGCATCTGAGCATGGTTTTCAATACACTCAAGTGACTTTTGTGAAAAATGATATTTTCTTAAATGAGGTGAGGTTCTTGGTATATATTGTCTCTCAAAGTTTTATTTTAGGTTCAAAAGAAATATACCCATAATTTTTTATATATAAGCCTAGCATTTCTTAGCTAGCATTTTTCAGATGAGATAAAGATCTCTGGAAATAGACACTTAGAAAGTAATATGTTCTAAGGAATAGAAAAATGATGCATTTAAGTAGTTTTTAGCAGGAGGAGTTCAGATGATATATTTAAAAACTTAATTTTCAAAAGAAAATGGCATACTTATAGCATGTGGTTATTCTCTTTGTACAGTACAAAACTGTTTACCAACAAAAACAAGCGAATAATTATACTCAGGAAGAACTTCAAGAAACTTACGGATTTCTTCTGCTTGAAACTGAAAATCAGGTAAGGGAATTAGATTGCATAAAAATTAATTTTGAGGTATTGTACAAATTTAATGGCAGTTACCCTTAATAGTAATAATTTCACTCTGTGAGATTTGTAAAGTAACCAGCCCATCGGTATTTTTATTTAGTTTGATGGCAATGTAAGTGACAGTAAAAGCTAATCTTGAAAGACATTTGATTTTTACAACTTTTCGTAGTTTCTCTTTCGTTTTGGTGAAATTTAGATTAATACAGTTCTTTTTGGATTAATGCAGGTTTAGTAACCTTTAGTGGAGTATTAGGCATTTCTTCGTTGATTCATTGTTGATATTGATAATTCCTGTTTCTGTGAAGGCTTTTCAAGTTTAAATTACATGGTTTTGAGGATAAGATGGATACCGGTATTCTAGTTACTTTGAACTGTTTCATTCTGTATTTGAAGACTTCCCGTACTTCAATTGGGGGAGAAGGAAACTATCGTGTTTGTCTAGTCTGTAACTTTCAAGGAACAGTTTAAGGAGTACTAGGGAATGTATCATCAAAACTTAGCAGTAATTCAGAAGCAATACTTGGGTTGAGTTAATGGTTTACAAAGAACAATGGCAGATTTGCTTAAGGAATAATTAACAATAACATAAGAATTATATAGTAATACCGTAGGAACTTACCCTTTTAACTTAGTCATCTAAATCCAAGTAAGTTGTGCCATTGGCTTATACTAAAAAAAGACAATTTCAGATTTAATGGTTGTAAAGGTTTAATTGGAAAAGAAAGCATGTAACTGTGATCTTGTTTAATTTGGTTTCACTGGTGACATTTTTGTTAATAGAAATGGTAAATTTTTATGAAAATCTTTGGATCATTAATCATGAACTTGCTTTGTTGCTATGAATACATGCAGTGAACAGGTTTTGTATTTATTTTAAATTTTATAAATAATAGCACTATTTCATTACTTTTCCCAAGACTGATAACAAGCAAAGCAGTATTTTTTGTTTAAAGGCAAAATTGATATGTCAGCGTGGACTCTGTGTTGGCAGCAGTGCTATTACCACTCTGGGTGATCCAGCTAAAGGTGAGTCTGTAGCAAAAAAGAATGTCTTCTTTTACAAGATGACGGTAAGATTTGATTTCATAAGATACTTATATTAAAAGCCAATTTTGTTAATTTCAAACAAATCATCTTTAGAGTCAGAACTTAAACATGGAAATAAGTTTTGCATCTATAACTTCAGGTGTTTTTTAGTGCCAAGAGATTGTTACTGTCAAGGATCTCTTCTAAACCATCATAATGGCAATAAGAAGAGGTAGAACTGACCAAACTTGGCAACTGTGGAATGTTCAGAGTAAGAGAGGAAAGAATAAAATAAAAGGTTTTAAACACATGCAATAGTGATACTAGAAAAGAGACATAGATGAGAGCAGCAGATTGCTGGGGAAGCTGATGAGTTAAGAAAGATAAATGGAAAGATTAAGAACATGATTAGCACTAAAGTTTTTACACTTCAGTTTTCTCATTTGGAAAATAGATCTGTGGTGAGGACAGAGACTATGTAAAATACTTAGCTCAGGAACTTATACAGAGTAATTTCTCAGTAAGTGACAATACTTCTATGAGTTAAATTTGAGAAATAATGACTTTTCATACATGTTTCTGAAATATAGCCTACAGGTGGTAAAAATAGTCAGGAAAAGAATCAGAACCAGGGCAGAGGGTGAGGTATTAATTGAAGTCAAGACATTGTTATATGGGGTTGTATAGGAGAAGATGGTGCAGAACAGAACTTTTTGGGTTGTTGATGGGTCCAGGGTGTTGGGAGCTGGGGGACATACGGAATGAAAAGGAGTCAAGAGCAGTCCATTGATGGAGAATTACTAGGTAGAGTTTCACACAAAGCAGGTAGATCTCAAGAAGAGGGGTGTTTAGCAGTGTCAGGTACCGTAGCATGTAGCAATCAGGACTGGGGAGGATTATTGGGCTTTGTGGCTGCATTCCTGCTGTCCTTTTTTTTTTTTTTTTTTGAAGTACTTTCATTAAAGTCACCACACATACATAGCATATACCCATTTGAACTCTATGATTCAGTGTTTTTTTTTTAACCAAGTGAGTGTGTCTATAGAATTTGCAACCATTACTATAATCAACTTTAGACCATTTTTTATCAATGAAGAAGAAATCCTGTGTCAATTACAGTGACTTCTCATTCCTCACCATCACCAGCTTTAGGCAGCCACCAGTCTACTTTCTGCCTTTAAAGATTTGCTATTCTATACATTCATGTAAATGGAATCATACAATGTATGGTATATATCTTTTATAAGTAACTTCATTTATTTAGCATAATGGTTTTGAGGTTCAAGTATGTCTTCAATAATCTGTGGTCTTTTATGCTTCCATTTTTTTTGTTCATTTATTTCTCTACTTAGGATTTCACTCCTCTATCTAAAGAACTCCTTCCCCAAATGTTACTGCATTTAATAATGCTTGTTTCAATTTCTTTGTGCTCTCAGATAGACAATATACAATTGACAGATGTATGATGTGGCTACAGTGGCAAAAAGAACAAATATAACTTTGGTCTTGATAGAATTTACAGTCTAGCAGAATAAGCTTCTTGAAGGCAGGAACCTTGTTTTATTTGCCTTTGTGTCACTCCTGTGTACTGAGAAACCTGTCATACAGTAAACTCTAGGTGTATATTACTAAGTAAGTGCTTACTGAGACTTTTTATGAAGAATAAATTGAGTCAGATTATCATAGGCCTTTGGTTGAATGCTTGCACAAAGGGGCAGGGGAAGACATATTTATCAGATAGTAAATATTTTACCCAATAAATAAATTGATAAATAATAAAAAGATACATTTAGATTTTTCCAACAATGTGATAACTTTTTATCCCTTTTCAGTTATTGTACCCAAGTAGAAATTGTTTATCAAACAGATATTTTAAACTTTAAAGTTTCTATACTTTTAGAATATCACAAATAGTGATTCATAAAAGTTAAGCAATATCAAAACATTTTTAATGGATTTTTAGTCCTACATGTAAATTGTATCTGAGTCTTTTTAAAGTATAAATTAATCTGTGTTTTATGCTTTTATAGGTGTATACATTTCCAAATATTCAGACTATCTTCACCCCAGACCATGGTATCATGGGAAGTCGGGTTATATTGTAATTTGTAATCTAATTAAGGTAAAGCCCACATGTACTTTTAAGCAATTTTCTCTTAAAACTGAAGGTTATATGCCTATATTTCTTTTTATTTTTAAAAATTTTTGTTAGCATGTAATAGTTGTAAAGGGGGATACATTATAATATTTACATACGTGCTTATAATATATCTTAGATTTATTCCCTCCATTGTTTTCCCTCTTCCCCCTCCCTTCCTAGAACAATTTCAAAAGGTTCCTTCTGTTTTTGTATATGAATATAAAATACACCCACCATATTTACCCTCATTCACGCTTTCCTTATGCTCACACCCATCCCACTGGTACCCATTGCTAGGAAAGACTTTTTTTACCCTCCTGCCCTTCATTTCTCTTTTAAGTATATATTGATACTCTAAGGAGATTTTGCCTTGGTACTTTAGGGCTGTATATGTCATGCTTAAATTAAATTAACTCCCCAGTGACTTACTCTTATCACCATGGTCCCCTAACATTCAACAGCTTATAGTACAGTACATTATTTTATATTCACGTACATATTTTTCATTCTCTAACATTTTCTGTAGTTCCCTCAGATAGACACTAATACAATTTTGTTCTCTCTCTTACTATGTATGTATGTGTGTATATGTGTGTATATATATTATATGATCATATGTTTCTATATATGCATTTAGCTTATAAGTCTAGCTTCCACATATGAGGGAAAACATTGCAACCTTTGACGTTTTGAGCCTGACTGTCTGTATTTCTTTGTACAGACACAGTCCTTATCTAAGTCAGCTATCCAAATCCAGGAGAAATAAAACTATTTTTTCTTTTCTTTAAAAGTAAAACTTTTGTTCATGTAATAGATCATCTGTGAACATATTTTTTTTAAAAACTTAAATATAATAAAAAGGGAGGGTATTCAGTGAAACATTTTCCTCATCTAGCACATTCATATTTTAAAGATGAAATAATAAAAACAAGTAGTTGCTAATGAAATAATGATTACAGTTATCAAAGGTGAATTTTGAAAACTGTCTTTTATCTGATTTAAATTGCCAAAAAAGAAGTCTTTATCCTTCAAACATCTAAACCTTGTTCGCAGATTCATGTGGTACCTAGAACTGATCTGACAAATTTTCAAATGTACTAAATGGAGGAGTTTAAGTAAATCACTCAGAATGTTCACCCTATTAGTAGTAGGGAAACTGGTTTTAGATAGTGGTAGGCTTTTTGTGGTCTTATTTTGTTTTGTTTTATTGTTTTGTATTAGCTATCATAAGTTCTTTGTTTATAAACTCCAAACTACTGATTCTGCATATATTTCAAAGTTCATTCCCTAAGAACTGGAGGGAAAGTAACATTGCTTTGCTGTACTATCCCTACTTTCCTTCCTTAGTCTTCATTTTCTGTCTGTGATAAGTGATGTAGTTCTGCAAAACAGTATGCCTTTTGACACAGATAAAAGGCATTTGGTTTTTTACTTATGTGGGATTATAGGATTGTCCCTCTTTCTTGGTTTCTTGCCAGTATATGCTCCTCTATCTGGCTAGACCTATTTAGTTTTTGCCTGTGTGCTCTCAGTTGTTCTTACTTCACAAAAGTGAACCATACTTAGTGCCTTAAGCTATTTGATGGGGAGAAGGTCGGGGTTGTGATGAGTATCAGGTGGTGCTGTTTACATTCTTTGGCTTCTTAGTATTGCCTGTGGTGGTTATATAAATGAAGAGGGAGGACTTTAACACAGAACAGAAAATCTTGTTTGAAAGAGTGTAATTTGCTGGGCATGGTGGCACTTGCTTGTAATCCCAGCACTCGAGATGCAAGAGGACTGAGACCTGAAGGCCAGCCTAGGTTACCTAGCAAACTAGCAAAACAATAGTAATTGCATCCTCCTTTTAAAAATAAAAATTGCATACAATCCCACACTGTACTTTGGTGTATGTGGTGGTTATTTTGTATGTTTTAATTTTTCCTAATATATTGATTTCTTAACCTATAAAAAGAGCTTATACTTCATATTTGTTTTATTGTGAATAATTTCTTACATTATGAAATCACTATAACATTTCACCATATGACAAAACTTGTTTTCTTTTTTCATCGCTAGGTATTGAACCCAGGACCTTGCCTGTATCAGACAAGTACTCTACCACTGAGCTACACCCCCTTGCCCCAGTAAACTTAATCTTAACCCTTGATGAAGAGAAGTCTGTAAATGTTAACTACAATTGACTGTTTGGTGGTCAAGGCCAATTGCCTGCTAAGCATTTTACTACATGTTTGTTCCTTACTGACTTGCTGGACCCTAGCATAATTTACAGATGATTAAAATTTCAGTTTAGAAACTCATTTCTGGAAATTTTAGATTTCATTTGTCATCTTGTTTGTTAAAATCACTAATAGTCATTCAGTGAGTATCATAAAAGTTTGTGGGCTGTATAGTTTTTCTCTTCAAAACTGATTCTATTAGGTTTTGGATCATGATGTATTCTTTTGATACTGTGACAAAAGCTCTGGTTTTTCACCTCAGAAAGACACCCAAACACATAGTTGATTTTAATACAATTTTAAGGGGGTTGTGGAGAGGTTTTTGGGTCAGGTGCAGTGGCTCGCACCCGTAATCCTCCCTACTTGGGAGGCAGAGATTGGAAGGATTGAAGTTACAGGCCATCCTGGGCAATAGGTTAGCAACACCTCATCTCAACCAATAGTTGGAGATGGCAGCACATGCTGTAATCCCAGCTGCATGTGGAAGCACAAATAGGAAGACTGTGGTCCAAGCCAACCCAGGCATTAAGTGAGACCCTATCTCAAAAATAATCAAAACAAGTATTGATGGCATGGCTCACCTGGTAGAACACTTGCCTAGCAAGTGTGAGGCCCTGAGTTCAACCTCTAGTACTGCCAAAAACACACAAAACTTTTTTCCTCAGATCACTGTTTTCTAAGAAACATAATTCTCATTAAAGTTACTGGTGAAAACACATCCATATCCCTGTTAGGCTGTTTTTTTTAAGTGACTCCTAGAGTTAAGGTATTGTTATTTGAAGACATTTGATTAGTCTTAATATTTTTATTCTAGGGAAAGGTCAAGTTTGTGTCTGAGAATTATACAACTAATTACACCAGGCCATCTTCTGGCTATGACTGCCACGTGGCTGCAGACGCTAACAAAGTCTCTCACAAGACGAGTCACTTTCGTGCCTTTGAACTGACTCAGGTATAGCCATGACCAAGTAACACCTAAGAATTTTCTCAATCTAATGAATTAAACTTCAGGGCTGGGTGGGGTTGAGATGAACTTAATACATATGTGATTCCATAGTGCTGGTAATACTTATTTTTCTTCTTTCAGTATTACCTCTATGAGCTTTCAGACAACACTGTTATTAAGCGACCCAGACAGATCTGTCCTTATGTAATTGTAGCTTTTCAGTACAGGGAACCTAAAAAGATGGCAGCACCAACTCATGGAAGCATGTAAGTAATTATTACATTCTTTGCTTTTCTGGGTTTATTTCTCTTCCTCTTATAAAATTGCTTTTTTTTTTTCTTTTCTAGACTTGAACTCAGTAAAAATGGTAAGAAATTATTTAATTAGTTCTTGTAATTCATTTTCTTAATAAATGTTTCATTCACTGTTAACCAGTTTCTTTTTTTACCTTCATTTCCTAAAGTTCTCTTCTCTCCATGGAAAGGGAAATTAACTGTTCAGGGTTGTGTGTTGTGTGATATAACTCTTTGGTCCACTTACGGCACAGTAGTTCCAGCACAACTGTAAGTATTACATTTTGTATCCTTCCTAATGCTGTATTCATTTTTTTTTCACCAGTACTGGGGATTGAACCCATCACCTTGCACATGGAAGACATGTGCTCTACTGAGCACTGAGTTACACCCCAACCTCTATTTTATTTTCATTTCAAGGGCTTGGTGGGTGACACTAGTGTGAAATATAGCAATTGTACTTGGTTTTAGATTAGGGTACATTTGAGTAAATGTATATAGCACAAGGCCTGACACAGGAGACCTAAATTCTAATCTATTAATGGTAAAATTATCTCTCAGGATAATTTGTTGTTGTTGAGATGAGGTCTTACTATATTGCCCAGGCTGGTCTCGAAATTGTGGCTTAAATGATCATCCTTCCTAGCCTCTTGAGTAGCACTCTCACCATGCATGGCTAAATAAGATTATTTAGAGGTTTGACTTTCCTCCAACACAGAACAGATTTGCGTACATAGCAAATACAGCAAATGATAGCTAGGCGATCTTATTATTGAGTCTTTATTAAGACCTGTTGGTAACTACAGCTGAATATGATGGCATATGCCTATAATCCCAGCTATTTAGGAGGTTGAAGCAGGAAGGTTATGGGTTTGAATCCAATTTCAGCAAAGTGAGCAAGACCCTATCTTAAAAACCAAAGGACTTGGGGGCATAGGTCTTGTGGCAGAGCACTTGCTTATCAAGCACTAGGCCTTATGTTTTATCCCTAATACCACAAAAAAGGTGTGTAGGGGGGAATTAAATAATAGAAAAGAATGACAGAAACAACTAGAAGGAAGAAGCATTAGTAAATGTTAAACTTCAGTTTTCTAAATGTACTGCCCAATGTATTCCATCTTATAATAACATATAAAAGACCAGACTACAAAGACTTATTTCAGGGCTGGGACATAGCTAGTGGTCAGAACTCTTCCAAGTGTGTATGAAGCCCTTGGCATTCAATCCCTAGCACCACAAAAACAAAACAAAAACACTGCAGTATCTGTTTACATTGTAATAAGTAATAATAAATATTTGAATATCTTCTCTTGGGAAACCATAAAGGACTTCTTAATGAAATCTTTTTTGCTCAGCCTGTTCTGACTTTGTACTCCCAAACCATTGAAAGAGACATAGTCTAACTGATAAACAAGGTGAAACTGATGTGCTGTCAGAATTCATTTTCTTCTGTTGGCATTTTTAAAGAAGAGGCAGCAAGGACAGTATAGCCCATAAATAATAAAGTAAAATTCTCTGAATAAATGAGAAAGAAGGAAAAATTTTTTCTCACTATAGAGAACAACTACTAAATGTACAAAAAATGATGGAACATAAAGACACAAGTAGATAGTAAAAACAGTAGGTAAAAGTTTGATAATATTTGCATATCTTACAGCATTTCTCTATAATTTGCTTATTAATCTCAAAAGAAAGAATACAAACTTTCCAGTGGAGAACACTGGCAAATCTTACATTAGCCAAGTCATTAAGCTAACTTAGCCATAAACGGAATAGATGTCATGTGCTTCGTGGCATGACCCATAGAGAATGACAGACTATCACTCTTTTTTTTTTTTCACCCCTAGTTCACAAGCTAGGACCTTGTGCATGCTCAGGCAGGCACTGTACCTTGAGCTATATCCCCAGCTCTACTTCTGCCTTTGTGTTATTGCTTTTTTAATCAGAGAGTAACATTAGACCTACCCAGACAGAGGGACATTCTGCAAAATGGTCTATAATTCTTTCAAAAATATCAAAATTTTGAAAGAATAAGAAATTGTTGCAGATAAACTGAAATAGAGAAAATATCCTGGATAGGAAAGTTGTCTTTTCTGTGAAGGCACTTATGAGACAGTGGCAAGATTTGAATAAGGTGTAGGTTAAGTAGTTGTGCTATGTCATTGTGAATGTTTTGCTAGGCATGTGCGCTACCACCTGAACCACACTTGCAGCTCACTGTGAGTATTCTTGATATTGCTGATTGCTTTGTCATTGCACAAAAAAGTTGCCTTTTTGAAGGAAACCTACAAAGAAGTATTTGGACAAAGAGAGCATCATTTTATTCTCAAAAGAATTAGAAAAATTAATTTTGTGTGTGTGTGTGTGTGTGTGTGTGTGGAGAGAGAAAGAGAAGGGATGACAAAGCAAACATGGTTACTGTTGATATATAGAAATCCAAATGAAAGGTATAAGAGAATCCTTTGTAATATTTTTGCAAGTTTTGTAATATAATACTATTTCAAAATAAAGTTCTGAAAAAAAGAAAAAAGTAATTGGGAGATGATACAAAAGATCTGTGTCTGGTTCATTTTGTGGCACAATCCAATATTGCCAAGAATTTTCAATTCAACATAATTTTTGAAAATTCTCAATTTCAGTGTACTTAATTCTTTTTTGGGGAGGGTACTAGCTAGGCAGGTACGCTACTACTTGAACCACTTCAGCCCTCAATTTAAGGACTTTTGTGATTTTTTTTTTGGCATTATTTTAGAAAACTAAGAATTATTGAAAACTTCAGTATTTATTACACTGCTTGATTCATTTTTTTGTTTTTTAGACCACAGGATCTAGACTTTAAGTATGTAATGAAAGTGTCTTCTTTGAAGGAAAGACTACCAGGAGCTGCCTTTAGAAAACAGAATTACTTGAAACAGAAAGGTCTGTTGAAATGTAATGGCATACTTCATGTCCTGGGCTTGGTTCCAGTTACTTTCCACTGTCTTCCAAACACACACAAGACACACACAAACATACTTATGATTTTCATCTTAAGTGATTCTTAAAAGGGCCTTTTCAGAAAGTTCTGGAGTTGCCATGTTCTTCACTTCCTTGGAAGCCAATAAGAAACTATGAAAGGTAGTTTCAGCTTTAATATCTGATCCAAAGAAAATTAAACAAACAAATATTCAAAATAGCTGGAAACTCATACTACTCCATTCAAGGTCCATAGAGTTTCTGTTTTTATTTATGTATGTACTTTTAAATTCAAATTAAAAATTTTTGAATATAAGTTTTGGTAATTTAGATTAATTCATGGACCAATAGTGTTTATTTTACTTATTTAGTTTTTATCTGTCTTGTTAAAACTATAGCAGTGTCAGTGCAAATGAGAACATTGTTTTAAAACAATTATTTCAGTAACTTTGTAACTGTGAACATTAAGTGATAAAGTTTTTTGAGTAGTATTCCTAGTTCTTTCATTTCATATAAAATGAATTATAAATGATAACATATTAGAAATAATTTTTTTCTGATTTCTTTTACAGTCTGTTGCCAGGATTTGTGCTTCGATTTGTATGAGGTAGAACTGTCAAACAAACAAGGGAAAAACATAGATAAACTAACAGAATACATTAAAAATAAGCAATTGGTAAGAATCATTAGTTAAAGACACAGTTATTTTTTCGTTAATCTGAGATATTGATTAGTTGACTAAATTATTTTAACTTGCTGAAAGGGGTTTTCATTGTTCAATATTTATTGAAATAATAACATATTTATTGATTAACAGTTTCATCCCCCAGTATGTCAGTTTGCCTTTGTATCTCACTAGTCAATTTATATTCCTGACTTTCCTCAAAGTCTTTATTGTTTTTGACAGATAATTGATTAGCTCTCTAGTGTTTCAGCATTGATCAAAGGACCACTTTTGAGACACTTCTTTAAAAGCCACCTTTATCATTTGTTAACATATCCACAGGTTTATAAGAGTTGCTTCTTCCATTGTTTCCTTCGTGTAGAAAATGAGACTCCTGAGATACAGTAACTGGCTCAAGAAATTCTCTCTACCATACTAACGAGGGCTTCTCATAGTGAGACTAGGAAGAGATGCTTGAACCAGAATATCACCTGGCCTCAGTATAATTGCTGTTTATACTCTGGTCACAAAGGATGTGGTGCAGATGTTGGCCAGTGGCCAAGCAAGTCTGAGGAATAACATCATGTCTATCCCCATAACAGATAGTAAGAAATTAATAAATGAATAAAGACTAACAGAAGCTGAGAAGGTAACCTGTCTTGCTGATAATGTTGATGAGGATACTCCAAGTTGCATGTAGTGATAACCCAAACTGCCTCAAACAATGGGGGATTGAATAGGCTTACCTTTTCTTTCTAGATGGTAAGGCAGGTTCAAGTACTAATTATTCTTGACTCTGTTTTGCCTTTAACTTTGCTTTTCTCTGTGCAATATAGTTTTGTTCTCAGGCTGCCAGGCAGGGCTATGTTTCTCCTTTTCATGTGGGAGGAAAGGGAGAGAACCCCTCCTTCTGAACCATCACTTCAGTCTTATTAGGCCAATTTGTCATCTGCGCATCCCTCATCTAGTAACTGGGGTGGCATGAGTGATTCTCAGATGAGTGTGAGATTAGACCTACCCAGTCTTCAGTAGTGCTCCCAGCAAAGGGGAGAGTATTGAAGAACTTTCTTTAACATGTTTTGTTTTATTTTTATGTTAAAGGCAATCATCAAATGCTTAGAAGACAGGGGAGTTTTCATTTTACTTACATCATCAGCCTTAATACCAGAACCAGGTAAGGACAACTTCCTTTGAAAAAAAAAGTTCTTCAGTATGTTTACTTTTGTTTTATAACATCAGCAGCATAACTTTTCTTCTAACTCTCATTCCGTATAGATTTTGGAGATGAGCAGATGGGTCTGCATGGATTACACTTATTCCATTCACCCCTGTCAACAGGTAAGGATACAGTGGCTTTCACTCAGTCTGTTGAATAGTCAAGTCCTGTCTGACTTGACTTTTCAATAGCATAAGACACTGGTAACAGTTTTTTTTCCCCTCTCAAACAGCTCACTCCCTTTCAACCTTCCTAGTTGACCCTTCCCGGCCTCTTCTGCAGGTATACCCTTTCCTCTGAGCTACAGACCCTTATTACCAATGTCTACTGACATTTCTAACTTGAGGCACTCCAAGGTGCCTCAAATTAAGCATGTCCAAAGTGAGTTCATTTGTTACTGAACAAGAATAGCTAGGAGATACTTTTTTCATAGTCTAACTAATAGCTGTTACTCAGGGTCTTTATGGCTAATGTTCCCTGTCTAGACTTTGGTCTCTTATTTGACCCATACATTTTTAGGGTAATAATGACTCCCCAGAAAACCAAAATTTGGCTATTAGGGTGAAAAAATGTTATTCATAAAGTACCTAAACAGATAAATGCAGTGTGTCATGCTGGGATTATGGGTGTAATCTACACTGCCTGCCTATATTCACCCTTCTTATATCTTTTTTGTTCTGGGTAGTGATGCCGAAGATACAGGTCTTTACACATTTTAAACCCATGCTCTGCCACTGAGCTGCACTCCAGCACAATATTTTCCTTTCTTGTATTCTACTGTATTTTTAGAACCTACCAGTGCCACATACACGAAAGATATATACTAATTGAACAAATAAATAAATGAAAATCATTTCTGTCACAGGAAGAAATTCTCATTGTTTTACAATCACACTGGGTATGTTTGAAGATAAAACTATCTAGCATTTCTAAAGCTACAACTAATACAGAAAAGTTTTTAAACTTGATTTTAAAAGATTGTATTCAGTTACTCAAAGCAGAGAGCTATACTTTCATGGTACTTTGTGACAAGCAAAACATTACCAATTATAATAATAGAATAGGAAAGGCTGATGACATTTATTAGGTATTGTGCCAGGTGTAATTGAGTTTATAGTCCTTAAAATAGGTAACTCTTAAGACCATTTCAAAGATGAGAAGACTGAGACTCACTGCAGTGCTGGCTCCCAACTACAAAGCCATGTTATTTCTCTGTAAGATTTCTGATTTCATTATACTTTTTCCTTTTCTGGTTTTTTTGTTTTTGTTTTGTTTGTTTATTTTCAGGCTATAGATTGAACCCAAGGCCTGTTGCATTTTAGGCAAGCACTCTTACCACTTGAGCTACTTCTGCAGCTCTCATTCCTATATTTTTAATTGTAAATTATCACTCAGATTAGAACCATTACTACCTATGTACCTAGGAATAACACAGGAATTCTATTTGAATGAATACTGGAGTATTATGTTATTGTTTTCATCCCCTCCTCACTAAAATATTTTTTACTTAGGGTCATTTAAAGATTCAAAGTTTAGCTGTTTGTTTTAAATTGGATAATACTTGTTTAGTCAACTTAAAATGTTCTTTTTCATAGATTTTATAATACTCCATTGTAAATCATACTGGGTTCTGCCTTTTTAAGTTATTGAAATAATGAAGTTGCTACTGCAGTGAAAAGCCATTAAGCTCTGTGTAAACTCCTTGTCAAGTGAGATAGAGCTGGAGGCAGGCTTTCTCTTACTCATTCGAACCTAGCAGTTGCATGTCAAATGATTCTTTTCAGCTCCATGTGTGTATAATTCCAGATATATGGAGATACATATTCATTAAGTGCAGTCATAAGTGTTCTATTAGTTGTCACTTAGATTTTCATTTGAAACACTGCAGAATGTTTAACCATTCCATTATTTTGAAATCTAAAACATTTTTTCTTCATATTTTTTTAAAACCCAAAACAGTGTCAGAATTTTAAAATAATATGTATATGTATTTTAGGAGTGAAGGATTTGAAAGGTGAAGATGACATCTCTTTGAAGGTGGCACCTATTTTACCTGCCCTTAATTGTGCCCTGATAGAAGCAAAGAAATCACTTTCTGAAGAAGGAACCCGTCCAAACACATTGGTAAAGCGTAATTTCCAAGCGGTTTATAAGGCGGACAAAAGCCTTTCATTGACTGCTGCACCTCAGGAAGGAATGAAAGAGACTGAATTCATTGTAAATTTTCCCAATGGTTTTGACATGGTTTCTCCACCTGAAAAGTGCTCCGTAGAGTCCTTAATTCAGTTGAAGTCTTATTTTTCAGATCCTAGTGGTTATGCTTTGGAAGTATCTACTGCTTTGGATTTGTTAGCAGATCGTCCTCAGTCTCCTTATATTTCAGATGGAATTTGTGATGCTGGATTTTCTTTAGTTATGACTCCAGATCGAGAATTTCTTGATTCAGAGGCAGAAGGAAAAAAAGAAACTGAAACAGAAAAGAATTCTGAAAAAATGTTGAAAGCAAAGAAGGGTTCTGTGGTTCCATTGAATCCACCAGCATCAAATCTGAGAGTGCAGCCTAAGAGAAAGGCCAGCATGCCACTTGTGGTACAGAGTAAAAGAGTGAACCTGTGTCGCCCTTTTTCCAAAAGAAGTGTAGCCAAATCAGACAACGAATCACTCTCTCCGACAACTCTTAAGTTAGTTAAAGGGCAGTTTCCTCAGAAAAGGAAAAGAGGTAAGCATGATTTATATGAATTATTATAGTAATTTGGCTTCACACTCTGTTTCTATCTGGATTCATGTGGACTGCAGCTTGTCAGCTGGTCAGAAGTTTGTTAGAAATGCTGGAATTTCTGTGTGGTTTGTATGCATGCTAATGTGTGATAAACTCTGATCTAGATAACTTGAAAACCAAGAAATAGAAGAAACTAAGATACAGCAAAAGCCTGTTCATCAAAAGCTTATGTTTCACTTTAAAAACCTGTCAAACTGTCATTCACAAGTATTTATGTTCCCTTCTAAGAAAGGTGATTATCTGCTTTCTGTGCCATTCTCTGACAAGTAGAAATAAGAGCTGGGAATCTTCTAAAAGCAGGCACACCAGTGACAGCAATGAGTGATAGCCGATAGCTGAACACCTATAGAGAAGGGAAATGCCTGGGACCTCCAAAACTAAAGCAGCTTGGGACACAGCTTCTAATCCTGTGTGTGTGTCAGTTTTTTTAATGATCACTTGGATATTATGACCTTCTGAAATGGAATATGCAGTCATCTAAAAGCACACAATGAAAATTCCACAAGTGGTTTTATGCCCCTGAAAATTAATAGTCAAGTATCCAGAGCAATTTAGTATGTTTATATGACTTTTATGTAGCATCATCTTCACTTTAAGTTATGTTTAGTGTATTTTCTCCAAAAGGTAACTATAAGTTACATGATCTCTAAGCAAAGGGGTTAGCACCTATAGCCAGGGGGCCGGCCACTCACCCTTACCTTTATCATCTTTGCCAGAGTTGAGCAATTGTGACAGGGACCATATGGCCTTCAAAGCTGAAAGTATGTACTTTCTGGCCCTTCACAAAAAAAGCTTGCCAATCCCATCTATACTATTTTCAAGTTTGAAAGTGTCAGTGCCTAAAGAAAAAAACCTAGACTACACTGATTCCCAGGATTCTGAGTAATTACTGGTCTCACCAGGAATGGTTCTGGCCTATTATGGTTTAAGAAGTGGTGTGGGTATGTGTATTTAGGAGGGTGATAGGGAGTATGGCAGTGTGAAACATTGAGTCAGACTCTCCAGTTGTTTGTAAATACATACCAGGTCAAGCACACAGAGCTTCTGCTCTATGTCAACCAGTTTAATGTATTAAAAAATATATAATTGAACATTCTTTACTGTTTCTTAAATATTTTTAGTTATATCTACGATAGGAAGTATGTTTGAGATTAAGGCCACTACCCACATTCACACATGACTGAAACAAAAATTTCAAAAAACATTTACTTTGTGAGTAATGCAATCTATAACTTCTGATTCAATTAAGAAAAAATTGTGGTTAGACACATTGAATTTATTTTACAACCCACCAGTAAGTTGTTACAGGTAGTTTGAGAACCATGGCAGTGAATAATGCATATAAACACAATACCATTCCTGACACTCACCTTGTTTCATTTTTCTTTTTTCTTTTCTCCTGGACCTGGGTATGTGAGAGATTGTTCCTTCCTGTTTGTGCAAATGTTACAAACTTTAACCCTAGTTCTTGGTTATCTAATCTTATTTTTTTTTTAATTTAGTCTGAAACTGTTTTCCTGCTTGATGTATAGTTTACCTTTCTCCGTGTTGAAGATTTTAGAAAATATAACTAGAGTAGAAATTCGTTATATATATTTATTTATGTATATATGTATGTATACATACATACATATAATTTTTTTCTTTATTTCCTGTGATAGTTTAGTAGGGTGGAAAATTAGATCCAGGGAAGTATACAACATTGGAAGATTCTGAAAGCTTTCTTTTAAAACGACTCCTTTCTCTCACCCCCCCCACCCAAATGAAATGACTGTCTTACTTTTTTCCTACACCCCACTAACACTCATCATAGTTCCTTATGCTATGTGATATCATGTTTATTGTTCTCAATAAGAAACAGTATTTTTTAAAGCCAGGTGCCAGTGGCTCATGCCTGTAATCCTAGCTACTTGGAAGGCTGAGATCGGGAGGATTGTGGTTCAAGGGCAGCCTGGGGAAAATAGTTCACAAGACCCCATATCTAAAATAACCAGAGCAAAATGAAGGCATGACTCAAGCAACGGAGTGCCTGCTTTGCAATTACAAAGCTCTTGAGTTTAAACACTAAAGAGTTTTTTTTTTTTATGTCATGTAATTTTAATATAATTGGCCAACATTTATACATGGAATTATTTTAAATATGTTTGAAGCTAACTTGTTGGGTGGGAACGTTTATTGACATGTTATGTTAAAAGGTTGAAAATAAATGGTATTTTCCTCTACCCACTGCCATCTTTAGTATTTTCTATATTCCATGTGAGAAGCAAAGTGGAATACTTCATAAGAAATGATTTTTTAAGTAGTAGATTTGTAAGATGTAAAATTAGGTATAGGTTTTCCTGTCTTGTCATTTTATTTTTTGAGTGATACTAATATTTACAAGTTTGGAGGTAGTAGGATAACATACGTAATGTGGCTGTTTTTGAACATACTGTCTCCTCTCTACTGTGTGGTTATGGGGTAACTACATCACCTTATGGGAGCTGTGTGCTTTTTGTCCAGACATAATTATCCATCTCCCAGGGCTGTGATGCTAGTATGTATAGTTTGACCTGCCCTATTAGACAGGAAAGGTTAGAGATTGTAAGTTGTATCTTGTTGAGTGAAGTTATTGCTCAGATATTTTTCTTCTTCACTTGATAAGAGCTATAGACAGACACTTAACAAGTTCCTATTTTTATATTTATGTGAGAATTTTTAACCCTTTATTTAAAAAAAATCTATTCATAACATCCAAAACTTTATCATTTATTCTCCATTATTAAAGTTATATCCCACCCACCAAAAAAAAATACAGGAAAAAGCTATGCTTATAAATATCTGGGCCCCTCTCCCTTAAATAATGGTGTCTCTTCTACATAAGGTGCGGAAGTGCTGACTGCACAATTCATACAGAAAACCAAATTGGATAGGAAAAACCAAGAAGCTCCTTTTTCCAAAGATGTTCCAATGGCAACGAATGCTAAAAGGGCAAGAAGACAAGAGAAATCTCCAGTCAAAACTGTTCCAAGGGCTAAGCCACATGTGAAGAAATCTCCACAAAAACAGAGGGTAAATATAGTAAAAGGCCATCCGAATCCCAGAATCAGAAAGCAGCCACAGCCTGGTAAGAACCGCTTCCTATGAATATAGACACTGCACTGCAGATCTAAAGGGGATTGCAAGATAATGTATTGAAATATATAAGAGCAGTTGAAATTTATCAGTAAGTCTATATTCTTTAATTCATATACAAATAAGTAACTTGGTTTCTTATTGTAATTAAATTAACAAGGGCAAAGATTCAAGCTGTCACAAAATAGACCCTAATTTTAATTTGCATAAAGTCTGAACATGAATTTTTAAAAGAGTTAAAGTTTAAATGACCTTATTTATGATTAAATGCACATGCAAGTAGTGTCTGACAGTATTCAGACACTACTTTGTCTAACAGAGAATTGTAAGCAGATTGCCCAAAAGTGTCAGTGGGCTGGGTGGGGTGTGGCTCAAGTGGTAGAACACTTGTCTAGCAAGAATATGGCCCTGAGTTCATTCCCCGCTACCACCAAAAAAAAAAACAAAACAAAAAGAACAAAAAGCAATGATGAAATTTTGGCCTCTGTGCCAGATTTGAACCAGTCTGCTTATTTCTGAAGGGAATTTATGATTACCATTAAGCTCCTGCTGTTTCCTGATTTGTTTCTTACTTTTTGGTTATCTTGCACCACTCTGGGCTCATTGGTATTTTTAGTCTTGTGCACTTCCCCTCTACCCACCAACATTCTGTGCACCTGTGTCCTACCCCTCCACTAGTCTTTTGTTTACGTATGTATTATATTGTTAACAGTGCCACTTTGTTCTGAATTGGCTTTTATTTATTGACAAATTGACTAAAAAGGAAGTATTCAATTGGATGTTAGCAGAAAAGTAAGCCCAGAAAATGAAGTTTTAAAAATGTGTGTTCAAAAATAGGCCAGTTTGTACTACAAATGTCAGTGCATGATGTAGCCACATGCCAAGTTAGAGCTTTAAGATTACAACCTTTTTTTTTTTGGTTGTACTTGAGGTTTGAACTCAAGGCCTGCACCTTGAGCTACTCTACCAGCCCTTTTTTGTGAAGGGTTTTTCAAGATAGGATCTCTCAAACTACTGATCCTACTGATCTCTGTCTCCTGAGTAGCTAGGAATACAGGTGTGAGCAGCCGGCACCTGGCTGTAAGATTATGATCTTTTAAATGATCTTTTACGCTTCCGTTTTTTAATCTTCTCTACTAATCTGTTGTATTTCTTATATTTGAAATATCAGAGTTTATAGAGGCAGATGACTATGCTGGACTTACTTGAAAATTGCTAATCTAAATTATTTTGAGTTTTGATTATCAAAATCAAATGAGAATTTTGAAGTTAGGGTTTTGGTTTTTTTTTTTTAACTGAAACTGAAAATTTTCTGGTTTATTTATTTATTTTTTTGCGGTATTGGGGCTTGAAGTCAGGGCCTTCACCTTGAGCCACTCCACCAGCCCTATTTTTATGATGGGTTTTTTGAGATAGGCTGGCTGCCTGGACTGGCTTCAAACTGTGACCCTCCTGATCTCTGCCTCCTGAGTAGCTAGGATTACAGGTGTGAGCCACCAGTGCCCAGCAATGTGGTGTCATTTTTTTATTTACTGAATTCTTTATATTTTTGTATAATTCTTTGATGTTATCTGTATGTCTTAAACAAAGGTGGATTACCAGTGTTGTTTTTAATTAATTGAGAATCTGTAAATATTCTAATTGTTTTATGTGAGAGTATATACTTTTACTAAACTGTACTGCTTTTCTTGACTTTAGTAAATTGTTTATAAGTAGGCTTAACTTACAATTATAGTCTGTAAAGAGATAAGTATATGGAAACCATAATGTCAGTAATGATAGAATGAAGTTAATGTTAGTAAACACATCAGATCATAAAATAAATTACACGTTTCCAATATGTCTATGCAGCTAACAAGATAGTTCTCTGCTTTGGGCCCCATTCTTCTACCTAGCCCCCTTAGGTTTTGCTATTTTAAATAACTGGGCAGTGTTTGATTAATTTTACCCTCCCCAGCCTTTCTCATTCTAATCGATGACATCATAGGTCACAGTTTTGTTCTCTTTAAGTGTGCTAGTTACTGGATTTTGCAGGCATATTATCAATTCGTTTCAGACCTACTACAATTAATTATGAAGAATATAGTCGGCTTTTCTTTCCATCCATTTAATTGCAACAGGGAATCATTGACTAGAAGATTTGTGAACTTTATCCTTCATAATAGCAGCATTTAAGAAGGATTAATGAATATCCTAAGAATGTTTATGCAAGCCATTGGGCAATGTAAATTTTCTAGTTTAGAGCAAATGGTTAGATTTGATTATCTGCAGAAAGAAAAATTATCAATAGATTTGCTCTTGTGGATAGAATAAATAAATTTAAAAGTGTTTTCATTGCTAAAAGTAAAGTTTTAAAGGATGACAAAATGGCAATTCTAATACTCTTCTGACTTCTAATTTTTTTATTCATCTCATTACATCTTATTATTAAAGATCACTGTAGTTAAAAATCATCTCTATTTTTAACGTAGTTTCTCTAATAAATCACTTATTAAAGGAAATGGCTTCTGAGAAAGTATCTTAGCAAACTGAAACACATACTTCATACTTCTATATTCTTTTCTCCTCACTAGATTGTAAGCTCACTAAGGGCAGGACTTTCCTTTTCTTTTGTTCATTTCCCCTCATTGTGTATTATTTAAGTGGAGCAGTATATCTTAATGTATGATGTGATACATGCATTTTTGGTAATTTCTTTTTAAATTAATCTTAAGGTCCTTAAGATTTGTTCCTGAGTTGATAAATTATAAACGGTTGGAAGAGACCTCAAGAGGTTTTTCTTATGTTGGCTTAACCATTGGTTTTCACTAAGACATGATGATATAGCAGAAGTTTAATTCTATGTAAAGCAAATGTTATCTCTTGCTCTTTTTTGTTGTTGTTCTAAAGCCAGAAGAGAAACTGCTGTACAGCTTCAATCAGAAATTTTATCAGACGGTCAAAAAGATGGAATTAGCATAAACGCAGCTCAACCAGAATGTACTGCAGTTGCTCCAAAAGATGTTCCTGAAAACTCCATTATCAACTATGACTCTCAGGCCCTTAATATGTTAGCTGACCTAGCTTTAAGCTCTGCTGCCTCTTCTGTACCATCATTTGAGCCTAGAAACCTTCCCTGTTCCTCTGAATTGCCACAAAATGATATTTTACTCTCTGACGAAAATTCATTGCATAGTACCTCTGACCATGAGTATCACAGGGGAGTTAAAAGTCAAAAAGGTGTACTGCTGCCTAAACCATCCTCAGATAGGAAGAGTAATTCAGAGTCAGACTTAACTGTTAGCCAAGAAGAAGAGAGCTTGCTTCCTGATAGCCAGGCCCCTGCAAAAGCCCAGCCAGCACTCCCTGAAGAAGCTCTCGAACCTTCAGGTGCAAGCCAAAACTCTTTTGTTGCTGTGGAACATTCATATGCCCTGCTTTTTGCAGAACATTCAAAGAAACATCTACATCAAAGAGGGTTACCAGCCCCTGCGTTTGCCAAGTATGGGACAAAAGGTCCTGAGGCTGGAACTCCAGTAGGAAAAGTCATGCCATTTCGGCATCTGCAGAACACTTCTCCTCTTCAAAAGTTTTCTGAGGATTCATTGCTTAAGCGCAAAAGTCGATTTGTATCTTCCAACCTAAAGGACTTTTATTACTCTCGTACCGTGCTTAGCTGTGATGGCTCCTTAAAGGTCACTTTCAAGTGTGAAACAGAATATACATTTAACTTAGATAGTAAATACACCAGCAACCCACTGGAGAAAACTGTTATAAGAGCATTACATGGGTAAGTAGGAATGAAACTTGATGAAAAATGGCTATAATTTTCCTGTTAAGATTAATGTAGTAAAATGGGAAGCTTAGACCAAACTTAAGAGGAGAAGTGTTTGTGAGTAAAGCCAGTAATTTGGTAAAAATATAAAGCAAATGTGTTTATTGCTAGTTAAGAATAACAGGCGGTTTTTGCCTCTGTTGGTGATCACATGGAGAGCTTTTTAAAGATAACTTTAGCTTTATGGATGGCTTTCCATCTTGTAGTGCTCCTTCATCAATACTTGCAGTCTTTGAACTAGAAGTTCTAGATTAGCTCGTAATGTGAAATAGTGTGAGATACAGAAATAATGCATTACAGACTGAATTCTAGAAAAAAAATCTTAAAACTCATTTGAAGCTTGTTCAGTTGATCAGACTGATACACGTGAGTGGTTTTACATGAGCAAGTGGTTCTATAAATCTTCCTTAAGGAAGCACTCTGTAGCCTCCCTATTTCATCCCACTTCCGCTGTCTGTTGTTTTACCATTTTCAGAGGCCAGAATAGTTTTGTGTGTCTCTGTATTGTTTCAGGATATTATCCAGAACTGTAATCTGAAAATAATAAAGTTCTGCTGAATTGCCCAGAGGGATATTATAATCATCAGATTTTCCAGCTGGTAGAAGAGAGATAATAAAATGGAAAAGAAACTAGTCAACCATTCTAAGCAAAATGAAAGTGATGAGAATTTGGGTAGTTGTTGAAACTGTTAGTCACATAATAGGTATACTGTCTCCAAAGAGCTTTTGTGTGGTGAAGAAGAAAACTGCTAGACCAGGAGTCAAGAGACTCATGTTCAGCTCATAATTCTGTCATATAGGTTTTGTGATTTGAAAGAAGTTACTTAAATGTTCTATCAGTTTCCTTCAGTTGAAAATGAGGTTAGACTTCATAATTATTTGTTAAATAAATTTCATATTATTGATTATTTCATATCTGTAACTTTTAAAATAAAAATGAACAAAAAAATTATGGCTAATAATGGCACTCATTTATAACAGAGTCAACTAAAATAACCATTTGAATTATTTTCATGTGTTCTTTAAAATCACAGGCCTTGGAACTCTAATTTGCCTAATAATATGGAAGAAGTGATGCTTTTACTTCATATGTGGGTAGCTCTGTTCTATAGCAATCAGAGCAAAGTCATACAGTCGACCCGAAAAGTGGTAGAACACAGCAACCCAGCAAAATATGTGTCTATAAATAGCACCTTAGACTCTCTTGAATTCAGTGAATTTGACGAGTCCTCAAGTTTGGAAAGATGTTCTCTAGATCCTGTGTTGGAGACTAAAGAAACACCCAGAGGTCATGCCAAAGTGTCCTTCCCTGGCTCTAACTGCGTGCTTCCTTTCACTAAACTGTCACCTGCCCGAGACTTTGAACTCTGTGTACAGAATGAACAGAAAGAAATTTTTGTAAGAGAGTGTTATCCAGATACTAAAGAAAGCCAGAATTTCATCTATTCTTGTAATAATAAGGTAAGACTAATATAAATTCTGGCTTTTTTTTTTTTTAAAGATTTTCAGTTTTTATTTGTAAAATCACATTCAAAACAAGGTATTACTTTGGGGAAATGAATTCTTAGTTACATACAGGATTTTCACACCAAAAACTTAATTCTCATAGAGTGCTGTTCTGCATTATCTGCAGTTGGAGATTATCTGCCTTCCTGATTGAAATGGTCATGGGGCAGATGATTTGGGAGCCCACCAGGATATTATCACTTCCCAGTGTTATAATTCAGGGCAAATTACTTGTTCTTTTTGAGTTTATTTTAAAAGATGTGACTAATACTGGTCATGCCTTACCTAAATGTTGTTTAATGATCAAGTATATTAATAATAAATACTGAAAATGCTTTGATAAATGTTCAGTTAATACTGACTATATCAGAATTAGTTTGGGAGAAAAACCATTGCAGATAACTGTTTCTAAATATGGAAAAGATACTTTGTTTTATCCCATTGTTTTCAACTGATGTTCAGCCAGGCCAGAATATCCAAATTTTAACTGGAGCAGATCAAATGTTATAACGAAATTCTAAGTAAATGGATTGACAAAATGCCTACCCTTGTAAGCTTATACATAGCCAAGATTTAGTCTAGAATAACTCTTTAAGGTTTTGGGGAGCACACAAGATATCAGTCTTAAAATTTAATGGACAGTGTTTCTATATCCGGGTTACTGAGGACTTCAGGTCCATGGATGACCTTCAGAAGGTGAACAGCTAGCTTCATGTGATCATCATTATCATCAAACTGAAGCTTTCTGGAGCATTGTGTGCCACAGGTATTCCAAGCCCTTCATTCACATAACACACTTAATTCTTAGAACAAACCAGTGAGGTAAGAACTGTTAATCACACCATTCTTTAGATGGGGAAACTAAGGCACAGAAAATTGCCTTGTAAGGAAATTGCCTGAAGTCACATAACAAATTGTCAAGACAAGATTCAAATATAGACAGTCCCAGATATTTCTCTATGTCGAAGGGAGGGAGGGGGAAGGAGAGAAAGAAATTCTTGTTTTGATGGTATTTTAAACCTATCTAAAAAGAGAGGCCTACCTACTCAGGAGGCAGAGCTTGGGAGGATCATGGATCAAGGCCAGCCTGGGCAAAAAGTTATTGAGGCCCCCATCTCAGGCATAAACACAAGACCCTGTTTGACCGTATTTGGAAAAAATAAAGCAAAAGGGCTAAAGGGTGTGCCTGTCTAACAAACACAAGGCTTGAGTTCAAACCCTAGTACCACCACAAAAAAAAAAAAAAGAAAAATTAAGAGGATTTTGCTTTATCTCTACCTTGTGATGTTCTTACAGATTATTACAAGAGTTAAAAGAAGAAACTAAAATTAATCCTTGCCTTGCTGTTCATCACATATGTAATTGTTGTTTTTAAAGACTATTTGACTCCTTTTAAATTTTTTTTTTTTTTACTTTTGTCATTTCAGGTAGTTGGGGGAAAAGCCAAACAAGATTCATCAGATAAACTAGAGACTTCTAATCTTACTCTTTCTGGTATTGGAAGTACCCAAACTAAAGGATCTTCTGTTTCTGGTGAAGATAAAACCTTTCAGTCACTTGAAAGCTCAGGAGTGGCCTCTTATAATAACACAGTCACACAAGCCACATTCACCACAACTTATGATGAGTCCAGGAGTCAGTCAGTGAGGCGTCAGAAGCCTGTGTACAGCACCTTTGAGAACAAAGTTGGTATTTTTCATGGAACAGTGCAGACAAAAACAAGCGGTGTAAAGGACCTTACTCAGCATAGCAGCCCCATAAACAATGAATGTCAGCCCTCCGTGGAAATGATAGGTAGTAAGATGGAATATGTGATGATTAATCTGGAACCAGTTACTCTCAGTTTTGAAAAAAATGCCTGCGAACCAGTACATTCAGAAATAAATACAGTTGAGAAACCTCCAGCATTTAATACTGAGTTGGTTAAGCAGGTATCACCTGCTGTGAGTCTTAGACATTCTGTATGTCCATTGGAAAAGGCACAAAAACAAAGTCTTCAGGACATTTCACCTTTCGCACTATCAGGACAGAAAGGCACTAAGTACCTTTCTGCCTCCTCAGTAAGTCAGGAGACAGTTGCTGAAGGACTTTCTACTTTACAGAAGGAGGTGCCTCCTCCAGTCACATCACCGCCATCTGACAAAGCACCAGTAATGGAGGCATTATCATTACTTAAAAGTTCTAGTTACCCATTAGCCAATGAAGAAATGGAACCCCCTCAAGATGTCATTGTGCAGACCCAAAGTCTCTTTAGCATAACTTCAGAAGAGATTATAAAGCCTTCACAAATTGAAATAGTGCCAACATCAGCCTCTGCTACCCTAGGAAAAAAGTATTCCCTTAATCAACCAACAAGTAATAAATCAGATGACTCCTTTGAACTAAGGAATGATGAAAAGAGCAGCCTAAACCATGAAAATAGGAGTGTGGAATCATTTAATTCAATATTTGCCAAACAGACGAGCCTATCTGTGAATAGGGAGGAGATTAGCATGGAATTGTCAGAGGAAGATTCTGATATTGATCTAACTCTAACAATATCACCACCTACAAGTCCCAGGGAAGAAAGGTCCATTAGTGAAATAGAGCAACTACAGAAGACCCCAACATCAAAGTCAGAACTTCAGGATGTAGCTGAAGAAGCAGTTGAGCCGAAAGAGGAGATATACCTCATAAAAAACAGAGGAGTGAGTTCACCTGGTTATATGTCAGTGTGTCCTGTGGTGTCAGAGGAACCATTAGGAAATGAGAGAAAGGATGATAATTCACAACCAGGTACTTTAGTACTTTCTAAAGAAAATTGCTCCCTTGAGATTGCAGAAGAAATTAATGTTACCTCTGACTTTCCTTTTGATTCTCTAATTGAAGAAGTATCACCAGCTTCTAGTCCTATCCCTCTAGTACCACCTGAAGTAATACGACCATCTCAAGCTGTGTCTCCATGTAGCTTGAAGGTTCATGGTACACACTGTGAGAAAAATAACAAATTCTCCCTGATTGAGTTAGGAGATTTAGCTATAACAGAAAAAGAAAATTCTTTTGTAGGTCCTATCCATCCAGTGGGACAAGGTAACTTAACTCAAGTACAACAAATTCCACTCCCTGCTGAAGTGCCTCTAACATTAACCAATCATTCTGGAAGAAAAGGTAGACTAAACCTTGCTGGTAAAGTAACTGAGGAGACTGTCCCAAGTGACCATGATGAGGGTTTATCTTTCTCAGAAAAGGCACAGTACTGTGATACAGAGTTAAACCAGCCTGCCTTAGCTACCAAATGTGGAGGTAACTTTAAGCTTTCTTTTGAAAAGGTAGTAAAATCAGGGAATCCACTGCAGCCAATTAGTATAGAGAATAGAAATTTGGACATAAAACATCTTTTCTTGGAGTCCAGTGAACCTCCATTTAGTTCTAAAAATAAGTCTTTGGCTGATACGGTGGTTTCTACAACTCCTCTAGGTGAAATAGCAAATATGTCATTAAAACATCAAACTAGCCTTAAAAGCATTAAGAAAAATGACTATGACAGTGATTTGAAAACAGATGATGGCAGTTGGATGCAGGCTAAGTCCATGCACTCTGCCTCCAGTGATGAAGCTGATGTTACACAGGCATCCATGCACCCAGAGATCCCAAAGCGTGGTTTTTCCTCAGATGGTGCTGTAGACTTAGGGCATCCAACACAGGAAATATCAGTGGCCAGAATGGCCAAGAACAGTTCTTTGCTTAAGAACAGTGAAACTGATGGTGAATTACATGAGGAAAGCCCAGATCTTGGTGCTATGGGCCTTCAGCCTAACTCCACATCTACAAAAGGTGAACAAAAAGCAATCCATGTGCTACAGGATACATCAGCATGTGAAATAAAAGAGCTGTGGAATGGTGGGGGTCTCTCTGTGTATGCTGGTTCTTACCAAAGTACAGCAGACACCAGTGAGCGTATCAGTAAAGAACCAGAGGTTTCCCTTGTCCCAGAATCCCTTAACTCTCTTGTTTCTAAAGAGCATATTGCCAGTAAGAGCACTAATGAGGGACATAGAGCCAAAGCAGATTCTGAAAGCCTGGGCAGAAATGTGGAAGCGAACGTGAGTTCTGACATGCACTATGAACCACTTTCTGGAGACTCTGATGAAGACACTCTTGAGTGTAGAAATCCCAAAGTGGGCATGAAGGATTCATGCACTTTGAGAGGTAGTCATGCCAACATTGATGGTTATGACTCTTTGGTGGGTTTAAACAATAGAGATAGTGAAGCTTGGGGCGACTCTAATGAAGTTCCAAGGCTGGAGACAAGCATTCCTCCCAGAACCTGGGGCACAGGTTTAAAAAAACACAAGTGTGTGCCATGTTACGTACAAATCCGAGATCTCTGTGGTATCCCCAGGACTTACCCTAACTTCACTGTAATAAAAGAGGTCAAAGATACAACAAGAACGTCACATGACCTGAAGAGGCATCCACGTTTTACTGCAAACTGCAGTCTGCTCAGCTCCTGGACAAGCACTTGGCAGGTGGCAGACGACCTCACCCAGAATACTTTAGACTTGGAGTATCTGCGTTTTGCACATAAAGTAAAACAAGTAGTAAGGAAGGGAGAGTCTCAGGAATCTGTCTCTTGCACAGATGTCTTTCTGAAGAAGTCACCTCCCCAAGGTACCCATGTTGGAGGTTTCCCTTTGACAAAAATATCTGATGCCCCAGTTCTGTCCCCTGGGTCCAAGAGCCCCATTCTAATAACAGTTGTGCACTCTGACTCCAGACGGCAAAATCTGCACAGAACAGGTCACATACCTAGCAGTCTGGACAGCTCTTCCTCCTCTTGGAAAGAAAGGTGTAGTCACAGTAGAGCTCTTGGAAATTCTCAAAGAAATCAGACTGTTTCATTCCACCTCAACAAACTGAAGTATAACAGTACTTTGAAAGAAGCTCGCAATGATATTTCACTCATTCTAAATGAATATGCTGAATTCAATAAGGTGATGATGAATAGCAACCAAGTTGTTTTCCAAGATAAAGAGTTAAATGTGGCTTCTGAAGAAGCCACTTCCCAGGAAATGTATCCATCTTTCCCAAGACATCTTTCCTATGAAGACATGATTACAGACTTGTGTGCCAATTTGCATGTCAAACTGAAGAGTGTCATAAAAGAGGCTTGTAAGAGTGCCTTCCAGTTCTACCTTGTTGAAACAGAAGATAAATCATTCTTTTTAAGAACAAAGGTAAAGTGCCAGCTTATTTTTGTACTTAATATTATTTTGATTACCTTCTAATTTTAGTTTAGAGTAATAACAGTTTGGGCATAAAAAAGAAATGAATTTAGGTGGTTAGGTATTACAGTTCATTTTTTATCTGCATACTCAGTGAAAGTATTGGCTATACCTCAAGTGGAAATTACGAGAGGATAAAATGAAAAACCTATGGAATCAAGACAGATTTTGTTTCCTCCCAAGTCAGGATTTCACCATGGTTATATCATTTTAAATTAAAGACCATGTACTCATCAGAACATCAGTTATCCTAATAATCAAATTGTAAAGAGGTCCATCTCAGTGTTCCACATTATCAGGAAAAATATGTAATAATTTTTGAAAAATCTGTCTTTTAGCATTGGAAATGCATTTGCATTAGATATGTCTACATTGGTAACTTTTTTGTGGAAATGAGTCATAGCACTAATTCTGGAAGATACAAAAGGCTCAGTGCTGCACATGGAGCACTGGGAAGGGTGGGCAGGAGTGAGGGAGAGGGACTGTTAGCATGGCTGGACAGAGTGTACTGTCAAGGGTGAAGGAGCCATGATCACAAGGGACAGCTTACTACATCCCATTAACTTTATTCTGAAATCTCTGGTGAGCCCACTGAGAAAAACATTTTTAAAAGATCAATAGCAACACATTTGCATTTTAGATGTCTTTGGCAAATGGAGAACAGACTGGAAAAGTGGCAGTTAATAGGTCTTAACTTGAAGCTGTGCATTGTTTTGAAAGTCAGAAACATGAATTCTTCCATTAAATGGCTACTATTTTGTGTCATTTATGATGTTAAGTGATTTTAATTTTAGCATAACTTCTCCCCACTTCCCACCAAGCCCCCTTTCATTCTCCAGGGTTGTTACTGATGACAACTAGATTTGGTTTTGTTGTGCCTGGCACCCCTTTGTTTTTGTTTCAAGTGCCTTGCCATTTTGGTAAGTAGTATAGTTGAAAAGATAAAATGTTGAATGAGACCAGGTGCAGTGGCTCAGAAGGTGGAGATCAAGGATTCCAGTTTGAAGCCAGCCCAGGCAAGAAGGTAGTGAGATCACATCTCAACCAGTAAGCTGGGCAAAAAACTTAAAGCAAAAAGGGCTGGGAGTGTGGCTCAAGTGGTAGAGCACCTGCCTAGCAAGCACAAGGGTCTAAGTTCAAACTCCGCCCCCCCCCAACACATTGAATGAATGACCCTGTCTTTTAAAAGCAATCTGGAAATTATTTTCTTTTGTATCTGAACATTTTTGTTAATTACATATTCTGTTCCCTGCATGTACTTGAATGAGGGGTCAGCTGAGTTAGCATCATAACCAGTGAGCAGTGAGTGGTTTCCTTTCACTGTCATCTTCCAAGAAGCTGCAGAGTAGTGGTCTGCGTTTTCAGTCCTTTTCCAGAGCAGGCGGCACTGATTGGCATGTGAGGGAGGCCATGGCTCTGCTGTTTGAGCCACGCCCTCAGTCCTCCTGCTTTTACTTTGCTTTTCAGATAGAGTCTTCTGCTTTTGCCTGGTCAACTTCAGACTGCAGTCCAGCTACCATTTACCTCCCAAGTAGCTGGGATTACAGGCATGTGCCGTCATGCCCTGCCTCATTCTAATAGTTTAATAAAATAGTGACAGCTTAAGATTTATATCTGAGTAGGCTCTTCGTTAAAAGAAATCTTTAAAGACTTTTTCTGAAAATCGTGCCATCCATTTTGATTGATGATGAGAAAGTCAGTATCTCAGTTGTTTTGGGATCCCAGGCAGGTGGGTCATAGTATTCTTAAAGAAAATAAATGTTTATGTATATCTAAGGTGTGTGGTGGCAACACAGAAATCCTTCATGTAGAAATAATGTGTCAGAAATCACAGAGGAAGACAGGGTTGAGGACCGCCAATGACATTTAACACCTTTCCAGTGAAGCTTCATCATTAAGGATCTATTCTGTGATACAGAGATCACAGAAGGGCCTTGTAGCCACATGCAGTTTAAATTGTCACCCATCTTATTTAAAGATGCAGATCCAAGAGGCTGCTGACTTTCCAAAGTCGTCTCCATTAATAACAAAGCAGTGCACAACTATTGTTTTTAAAGTTTTAGTAAAATAGTGACCAGCAGTGGCATTCTAAAAGTATCTAATGAACCCGGGAAGGCCTCACACCCTTGAAGAAAGTAAAACTCATTTACATAGGTTAGTTTGATGTGTTTAAAAACATGGATGCAAAAGATTATAAACTGCTTTACCATTAAAATAAACTTCTAATTCTAGTTGCTCATAACTCCAGCCATTTGTTTCATACATATACATTTATTTAACAATAGGACAAATTGCTACTTAGTTTCTTGGTTAGGATATAAATTTAGTAAATGTGATGTGCTTTTTTGATGTTCAGGTTTTTGGCTTTTCATTTTGTGGTCTTGCCGTGTAGTCCAGGCTAGCCTTGAACTCTTCATCTTCTTGCCTTAGCCTTCTGAGCATTGCAGGCATGCACCACCATGCCCAGGCAGTGGATTGTTTTTTAATAAACTATAAAAGTAGCTCTGTGCAAGTATGCTTTTATTAATAATGGCTGTTAATAAATCTTTCAGAACATTCTCAGGAAAGAAGGCCATACAGAAATCGAACCTCAGCATTTCTGCCAAGCTTTGCACAGAGAGAATGATATGCTAATAGTTATCATCAGAAATGAAGATATATCATCACATTTGCATCAAGTAGGTTTGGAGCTGTCTTTCTTAACAACAACAAAAATGTGTTCTAGGCACTGAAGTTGTTCTGTAATATCAGACTCATTTCTAACACACCGCTCATGCACTGTTATTAGGCCTTTGAGTGGGAAGATCATGAGAGCAAGGTGGGCACTATGGAGTTCTGTAGTATCACAAAGGTATTTGTAGGGCAAGTTAAGCCTCACAGAGTTGAAAACCAATTCATGTTATCTGAGGGAGAACCATGAAAAAATGTGAGCAATTGCTAAGTTTCCTCACTTGAGATAAATCTGTATCATTTGATGTCTGACAATAAGAAATTTTGTTTTAAAAGGACTTGGAAACCTTGTGAACTCTTTGTTATACTTATGTACTAAATGTAACTGCTTATTGCAGGGAAGATCCAGCTTATGGACACAGACAAAGTGCCGCTGTTGTCAGTAGGTAGTGACATGAGCCTAGAAGCACTGACACACGTGTGAGCCAGAGATAATGACATGGAGTTTATGTGACCTGGCTGGTTACATTATGGGTGCCCAAAACCTCAGCTGCACTCTTCCCTCGGGAATTATTTCCAACCTTTAGGAGTTTTGGAGAACTCTTTTTGATGAGTTCATAGCTATTGTTGAGTCAGTAGTCCAGGTTAAAGTTATTTTCAGCTGTTCCTGAACCTTGAAATCACTGGGTAGAAAAGTGATGAAAGTATTTAAGACAACACACTCAGTGCACCTTGTGTTCACCAAGGTTCTTTCGTGTCTAACAGATTCCTTCTCTGCTGAAGCTGAAGTATTTCCCCAGCACCATCTTCGCTGGAGTAGACAGCCCTGAAGATATTCTTAATGACACCTACCAAGAGCTGTTCCACACAGGAGGCTTTGTGGTATCAGATGACAAATTGTTAGAGACAATAACATTAGGTTGGTCTTAACTTTTCCTTTCTGGTTCCTTTTTTGAAATCTGTTCAGGTCAGTTTCTCCTCACCCAATAACATGAATACTGCTTCATCAAAAAAATGATCAACTCTATTAGTCACTACCTATTTGGTGCTTAGTTTATACCACAACTGCTGTACTGAGCACTTTTTACATAGTAATTCTCTTAGTAGTGCTTTTAACCTTTTAGCTGGTTATCTTCATCACCAAACCTGCTTCTAAGTTCCCTTCTAATCAGGGTACCCATTCATATGAATTGGAAACTTTTTAACTCCTTCACTTGCCAAATCAAATCAGCAATATAGAAATTTATTTAGAATCAGCTCTGTTCTCCATTTCTAAAGACACTACCCCTATAATCTTGTTGATACCCCAAAAATCTAAAAAATGGTTACTAAAAGCCATCTTTGAAAACTCATCCAAAATTCATTTCTCTGAAGGGGATACTTTTATGTATAACCCAAACTTGCCCTAGCTCTGATCACATTAGAACAGAATATGAATACCATTTCTGGATCAAAAGAAGGATCTACCTTAATCAGCATGAATTCTGCATGGAAGCCAGGATTAACATTATCTCTAGGTTCTATACTTAGAAACCTGCAATTACCTTTTCTCTACTGCACTGGACTTCGCTTCTATTCTGTCACACGGCTGTTCCAGCAGAGTTTAATTGCGGGGGATTGCCGTGCTCATCTTTACTCTGTTCTTCCCACTGTAGGTTGAGCAGGTGGAACTAAGGGCCCATACGTTGTGCCTTTGTGCATATGATGCTGCCCAACCATGAGTGGCAGTAATGATGTCAACCAGGGTTTTTTTTTTTTTTTTTACAAATGATAATTACTGAACTTTGCATGAGCCATAAAACCACCTATAACACATCTCTTTCCAAACTTATTCTGCAGTTCAACTTAAGGAAATTGTCAAAATCCTGGAAAAACTAAATGGAAATGGAAGATGGAAGTGGTTGCTTCACTACAGAGAAAATAAAAAACTAAAGGAAGATGTAAGGTAAGGACTTTGTGTGGGACAAGGGTAGAAATGCCCTCATGTTCTGTGGTTCTGGACTAATGTCACTCTAAGCCTTGTGGCCAGGTGAATCATGCCCAAAGGGAAGTCACTGTCACTGAACAGTATTTACGTCTGTTAGCTAGCTTTTAGATTTTGTTTTTGTAGCAAGGCGTTCAGTGAAGGAAGCTATGTTTTAACAATAATTGTTTGAGCAATGCATCTTATGTCTAGAGTAAGAGCAGTCAGTCAAACGTAAACCATAAACATCCATGTAGTTAGATTCAAGCTCTGCTACCATGAATTATAAAAAATAATTGTATGAACTATAAAAATAGCACTATGGACTTTATGCTCTAATACTTTTTGAGTACTTATTCTTATAGTAAGTTACTACAATATGAGAAAGATGGAAAAATAGAGACCAGAGTCTATCCTAATTCACTTTAATGCTTATTATCTAATAAATTGGCAGGGTTGGTAGAGTGGCTCAAGTGGTAGAGTGCCTGCCTGCCTAGCAAGCGTGAAGTCTTTAGTACTGCCAAAAAAATAAAATAATTGGCAAGTCTCCTTAAATCTAAAGCAGTATTTTTTTTTTTTTTTTAAAGAAAAAACACTTGTTTTGAGTCTTTGGCTAAAAAGACTTGGGGCCAGTGGGAGAGTTCCTTCTAATGCAATCCTCCAGGTTCTCTGGGAACAGGGAGATGAATAGGAAAGGAGCCTGTCTTAGAGGCAAACTGGGAAAGGATAGATTGGATAAACCATTATTAAATGATGAAGACGTCAGGCTCTATAGTAGGTACTTTGTATTTGATAATCTCATTTAGACTTTATCCATAATAAGTGCTGTTTTTATGATGTAGAAATTGAACACCCAAAGAACAAACTTCAACAAGGTCTAAATAATAAGTTAAGCTGTGCTTCAAATTCAGAAAGTTGAACTCTAAAATGAGTTATTTACCTCTTTTACTATAGTATTTTTCAACAAACTAGGAATAAGCATAGCTAGAATTGTGTAAGTACCTAAGACTTTTAAAAGAAAGAGGAACAAATTTTCAGGAGAGGCTTTCCCTTGATAAGAGGAGCTAGCAAAGCAGAGAAAAAAAACCCAAAGATTTCATTGACAGGAAGGTAAGGCTGGTGGATGGCATAAGTTTAATCAGGCCTGGGCGCGTAACCAGGAATACAGAGGACCTTGTTAGCCAGTGCTTCAGGGGAAAATTCTAACTTCAGTGTTAACTAGACAAGTACATTAAAGCTAGGTGCCACAGCACACCTACAAAAACATAAATTAAAATAACTTAAATTTTGAATGTGAATCAAGGAAGCATTTTCCTTTAAGAGAAGAAATAAAGGTAGCAACAGGATTTTTAAGGGAAGTGAGAAATAAAGAAAATTCTGGCTGCTACCTAATCTTAATGAAGTTGCTTTTCACAAGGCATAAGTATAGAATAGATGTTTTAGGAGACCCAGTACTATACAAATATTTCATGCAAAAGGGTCCACTACAAATCAGTGAAAAGCTTGCCATGACACATGGTTTGAAATGTCAGTGGAAAAAATGGGTGATGTCTCTCTTGACTTGGAATGAGGCCCAACTTAACAACCTATTTGCAAAGGAGTAATTGTCATATTTTGAGAAGAAAAGAGCAGGATCTTTTATTGAGTGTTTTAGCACAACTGGTTAAAATGAAAGCAAGAAAAAGTCCCAGTAGCAAAACAAGATTTAGTAATAAAAGAAATAACTGGTCATCAGCTTATACTGAATTTGAATTTTGCTATGCATTCCTATGTATTTTCCAGAGTGGATTCAATTGCACATAAAAAGAACTTAATATTGAAATCATATCAGAGTGCAAATATCATTGAATTGCTTCACTATCACCAGTGTGATTCTCGATCACCAAGAAAAGCAGAAATTTTGAAATGTTTGATAAACCTGCAAATTCAGCATATCAGTTCCAGGTTTGCTGTCTTCCTAACAGGTAAGTTCACAGTCTGAGTTATAATTCTCATTACTCAGTTAATGCCAAACTAAGTCAGCTCTAGAAATGTCCTTCCAAGTAGTCACGGAATACCTAAGAAATATAAACACCATAGCTGGCATCCAGGCTAGTGTGTTTTGACAAATTCATGTAGGCCAGAAGGGGTTGAACAATGGTTTGCTAAGTTTGCCTAAGTAGTCTTTTGATAAGTTTAAACAGCTCCTACAACTACTTTTTCATGTGTTCTGTAAAAGTTTATTTAAACAAGTACAGTTGTTCAGTTATCAGTGGTTTTCAGGGTTCCTTCTTGCACCCCCTATGGATGCAACTGCTTCCCAAAACTTACCTTAATTTTGAATTTTTCTTCTCTGCTCCTGTATTAAGGAATTCTCTGCTACTTTGAAAAAAATTGAATTGACATTTTTTATTAATTTTTTCCCTCCTTACAGATAAACCTACTGTTTCCACAGAAGTCTTTGAAAACAGTGGAATTCTTGTTACAGATGTAAATTACTTTATTGAAAATATACAAAAAGTAGCAGCTCCATTTAGGAGTAGCTATTGGTAAGAGCACTTTCTATGTACCTCTCCCTGTGAGTTGGAGTTGTTGGCAGCAGATACTGACGTGTGTCTGAGAACAGTTGTACAAGATCTCTTTACAGTGTACAATGCTAGACATTTGGTTTTTTACTTGTTTAGAACTGTTGCTAGCTTCCTTAGTTATCACTAAAGAGATAACACTCCTCCTTCAAATTGTTCAAAAGATGTGCATTGTCGCTTGCAGTCAACCAGTTGTCAGGGACTGTAACCTTAAGATGCATAAGAGTTTGCCCCATTTAGATACAGCATCCCATTTATGAAGTATTTCTTGATCATTTTGTGTTACCAATTTTGTGTTTCTACAGGTGATTCAACTGCAGCTTGCTTACACATGGAGGACACCAATGACAAATTAGTACTTTCCTGTTTCTAGTACTTCCCTCTTTTTAAAAACTTTGAATATACAGTCCTCATATTTAAAAAAAATCAATGCATCTACAACTTGAAAAGTTCTCCCTTTCATTCTTTATATTTTGCTAGAATGTCTGACTTCAGTGGCACAGTAGTTGCCATTAACTTTGGGTTGCAGTGTTAAATATTGTTTTAAATTATTTTTACTTTAAACATAATGCCTTCCAAACATATCTGAGCTTAATATTAAAAACAAGAACTTTACATGTTTACGTAGTTGTAAAAAACAAGTCTGTTTTAACAACTAGCTTAGCTTTTCCAAGTAAATGTAAGGCATAAAGAAAGAGATGCGTGCTGTGGTGTTTCAAAGGTTTTGCCTCCCTTGTAAAAACTATTACCTGTTTGCTGTTATATAAGGAACACTACACAAAGTTAAGACATTTTTTCCTGAAAGGTACACATTTATACTGTTTTTCACTTACTCGGTTTTTGTAAATACTGCACTACAAAAAAATCAACCCTCTGAGGAAGAAACAGTCATTTATTTATGATATTAAAACTGATTTCTATAGTAATCTTTAAAACACAAAACCAAGCCAAAAAAAATTTGTAAGATAAATACTATCTATTTGGAGCAAACGTTTTTATAACTAATTTGTTTCATTGTTTTTAAAATAAAGACAACTTTTTAAAAGCATTCAGCTATTTCTGCAGTGACTTCATAGCAAAAATTGTATGGCATGTCTTAGCAATTTTTTGGTCAACAGCAAGAGTAACTAGCTTCTAGGGGAATCCTTCCACACAGATCCTTTTGGCCTGGCTTCTGTTAATCTAGTTACCATAGACCTGCTCCTTGTGTCTGGTGTTCTTCCCTCCCAAAGTCAAGTACACTGAGCAGCAAGTTGAAGAAAGGAAATTTCAGCATAAATTAAGTGCTTTGCATCATTGCTACTTAACAGAAGTGCCAATTTTACTCTTTATTTTCTCAGGAGGATTTTTGATACTAACCTTTCACTCAGTAACTCAGAGCATTCTATAAACTAATAACAAAAATCTGGTAAGCGCACTATAACTTACTGATACACTTCTGATGAAAAGGTAAGTAATACATTAAGCACCCACTACCTGCCAAACACTGCCCGACACACTGCTTGTTAGTTATATCTCAAGCATTTCTCTCTCCTTGCTGAAACTCCCTCCCAAACCCACAAGGTCACCCTTCTCAGTTTCCATTCTGCCTTTTGTGTAACTTTTAATAATTCACCGAGCCATACAATAACACGTCCTCCACCACGTGAGCTCCCCAGAGAATGCATATTATTTTCTGCTCCAATGGCCTGGCACATAAAGTACCCAAGTATTTTGAGTGAAGAATATGAAAATGTTCTGGTATCACTTATTACTAACCCATCTTGCACACTGGCCTGCATTAAAGTATTGTGGAAAATGAAGGAAAGAGCTTGCTGGAACATTAGATAATTAGCAGTGATTCTCAAGTAGGGAACATCAGATAATGCCTGGAGATTTGGTTGCAGGGAGGTGCATGGGACCTCCAAACAAAGAGATCAAGCCCAAAATACCAGAAGTTGAGGAACTCCAAGCTAAAGTAATCAGACAATCTGATTAACAGCATAAGTCATCATCACCCTGATGCCCCTTTACCAGGTTGATTGCCTACTTCCATCTATTTTCATACTTAATAAGGATCAGCATTTACCAGTGGCAAACTGCATCATTCACAGAGGACTATCATCTTGAGAGAGAAAGGCACTACTTGCAAAAACTAAAGTACATGAAAACTGCTAACATACCTTCTGTACCTGATGAATTCACTTAACTGCTGCTATAAGCAAAATTGTCAAAGGCAGTAACGTATGTATGTGTGTGTGTGGGGGGGGGTGCTTGTTCTAAGTCACTACTAAAATTACTAAAAAGAATTAGTAATTATGTTCCGTCAAGAATAAAATGTGGGGTCTACTCACAGTGAAGCCACAGGTCAGGGACTGCTCTGATGCGTCCAGATAAGGAACTTCAAATGCTCCCAGACCCTGTGAAAGCTGGCTCTGGCATCTTACAACCTAGCATCAATGTGCGTCAAATCAGGACACAAACAGACCAATACAGAGAGCAGTAGTTTCCAGAGTTTGGCTTTATTTTGCAGTACAGAAATCATTTGGAGCCATTCTGAGACATCATTGGAGTAGAGGCTCTGTCAAATCAATACTGCATTGTAGCTTGGTCCATTGAAGAAGCCACACTTGGGATACAAAAGATTCTTCTACATTTTGCCTGCTTTATGATAGGTACCTTTCCCCTTCTTTCATCAATTCTGCTTGGTTAAAAGACATACTGGATTCCTCCAAATGACTCCCTAAATCCCAAGTTTGGTAAGAAGTTTATGCCCACATAAACCAAAGGTATGGCTATACTATTTGGGCCCTGCCATAATACTTGACGTAACATGAAATAGAATTACAGGGAAAACTTAAGGACTTGCCATTGCAAACTAGAATATTAAATTTAGACTTTCAATGTTAAGATGGCACACAATTGTATGGATCCCAGCTCTTTGAGCAGCAAAAGCACACAACTGCAAAGGCTATATTGATTAAAAGATACAAATACTGTATCAGGTTCTCTGTACCAGTATCACAATGTTTAAAACTGCTCCTTCACTAAAAAAAAAAAAAAAAAAAGCCATTTGGGTTAAAATGAACAGAATGTGGTAACTGGCCAATTCTGAATAGCCACTTCATGAAAACAAGTTAATACATGATATTAGAAAGATGAAGGGGAGGAATATTTACTGGTACAGCGCTCTTCAATCTCCACTTTGATTACAAAGGCAGGCCTTACAATATTGATTTCATACAATATGCATTATTTGCCAAATTTTAAATTTGTCCTAATTAGATAATAACATGTACTGCTGTTAGTCTTCCCCATAGATGTCATTTTTCTTGCGCTTCATTTCCTCAAAGTCAAACTCAGATCCTGTCATCCTCTTATAGATGTCTTTAATGTCATCACAAGTTGTCTCAAAATGAGTTGTAGCATCATATGCACGGGAAATAAAGATCTAGAAATAAAAGTTACAAAGACTTAAGACTATTTCTTAAGGACACCAACAAAGCTTGATAACATCTTTTGTCAGATCACCACTCACCTGGCTCTCTGTTCCCAAATCTTTTGGTACAAGGAGGTCACTGATGCTAACAAATCTGGAGGGGACGAAAGAAATGTAGCAGGTCATATGGCCCCACACTCTGTCCCTGCTTTGCTTAAATTTCTAACAAAGGGTAAGAGTGGTAAACATGAGACACTTCCCATATAACGGCCAATGGCTACCTGCCTTTTCTCATGCTCACTCTACCATGGAGCCAAAATCAAGACCTCAGTTTGGATTTTAGTTGACATAAATGAACACAGCACTTACTTCTGTTCAATTGGTTCCAAGAGCTCCAAAGCTGGTCTGACTTCTTTCTCAGGTTCTTTGGTCTCCACGGTTGTACTAACAATGGCGATGTACTTGCCTTGTGCGGCCACGTTGTGTGCAAAGGAGATCATGCAAACGTAGATATCTAGAAGCAAGTGACAGCACCTTACAGCTGAACGTTTGTAGACCCACAACACGGGTGCACTCAGCTTTCACAATATATCGTTTAATTATGAAATACGTAACATCTTCTAAACTTAAGTTCTATATGAAGACAAACTGGGTCATGGGAAAGTACACAAGTATTTAATAACTGGAATTTCTTTTAATCTTGTTATGGTTTGAATAGAAAGTGTCCCAAAAATGGTCCACGGGTTGAAAACTTGGTCCATAGCTGGTGGATCTGTAGAGGTGACTGGATCATCAGTGGATCAATCCAGTGATGAATTTAGCTGAATGGGCTATTGTAGAAAGGGCCTAATTGGAAGAAGCAGGTAGCTGAGGGCATGACTTTGAAGGGCATATCTTGTCTCTGGACTCCTCCTCCCTTGCTATGTGCTTCCTAGTCACAATGGGGGAGCAGCCTCTTCTTCCACACATTCCTACCACCATGATATTCTGCAATGGAGGCAGCTGACCTTTGGACTGAAAATAAGCCTTTCTTTAAACTTTTTCTCAGGTTATTTTGTTATGACACAAAAGTTGTTTAATACAAGTGTATACAAGATAAAGAATTTGTGAACAGCTAAACTGAAAAAATTTGCAAGCTATATTAACTACTCTGGGATTTTCTTCCACTCTAGATCTTACACTTGGAAAGGTTTTGAGTAAGGTTTTAAAGGATTTATTAACGTTCTGAGTTTCTCATTTATTTATTAAAAATTATAGACTAGCATAAATTATTTTTGAGTTGGAGTAAACTGGTAAAATTCCTGAAACTGGGCTTGATCTGTATATTCCTATTCTAAGTAACTATAACTTCAAAGAATTATTGGCACTTTGGTTTTTAGGTTTTCACATACCCAGGGACCTTCTTAGCAACCACTGAAACATTAAGTCCCTCTATTCTAGTGATAATGTCCTATGAAATTATTTTTTTATAAAAAAACCAACATAATGCAAATAGCTCTGTACTACTGAAAACTAAAACCCCCTTTAAGTTAAATTTTAGATAAGTAAGTTGTAGCACTTCTAGTTAAATGGGAACACCTAATGGTTGAAATCACTGATTAAAGCAAAAAATTTAAGAATTTTGATTTTAGAGCTAAGTTCTGATCTGAATCCTAGAAACCCTTTTCTAGCATGTTGGTAAAACCAAGTACAAGAATTAAAACCACAACGGCCAGGGATGTGGTTCAGGTGGTACAGCACTTGTCTAGCAAGCCTGAGACCCTGAATTCAAACCGCAGGAGCTAACAAAAAATAAAAAGACAAAAATAATGACATAGAAACAACTGTGTCATCAGCTCAAAAATACAATGGAGTCAGTTCAATTAGTAAGCATAAACCTCCACAGGCACCCACGGTAGAGCTGGACTAGGCAGAGAGATAAAACTGCAGAAAGAAATGATAGATGCTAGGCAGGGCTCCTAGTCTACTCAACACAGTGCTGCAGGATCACTGGAAGATACAATGATCACGTTTCATTTCCCATATGTTACATCTAGCCTGTAAAGTTAGGAATCGGGTGAAACATTAACAAAATTCTACCAACATCTGCTGGCTTTCAAAACCCACCTGACTTTCGATTGACTTGATTCTGTGGAATAATGATCTGGCAGGAATTGGCATCATTGGTGTTCTTGATAGGGTGGCTGAGAATGCAGATAACTCTGATCACCTGGCCCACTTTTTCTACCCGATCTTTGACATAGCTGGGGTCACAGATGAGCTGCTTACAGCGAGCAATCTAATAAAACATTTAAAAGGACATTATAAGGAAGGTGTAAATACATCCCATGTTCATGGATTAGAAGACTTAATACTTATTTAAGGTATCTAAAAAGCATCCTAAAATTCAATTGAATCATAAAAGATTGGATTCAGAAATTCAAAGCAAGCTTGAAAAAACAGAGCAGCTTGGAGGACTCACTAAAGAAGCTACAGTAGTGAATGGTGTGAGACCACTGAGTGAGAGAAGACAGCCCAGGAATAAACCTTCATATTTACAGCCACGTGACTAAAAAAGGCATCAAAGTTAATGTGTGGAGTAAGAAAACATATTTTCAAAAACTTACGCTAGGACATTCCAATGAAGTTGGACCTTCAACTAACATCATACACAAAAATTTAAATAGATCTAAGGCCTGAAACTATAAAACTCTTGAGAAAATGTACAGCAAAAGCTTCATGACTTTGGACTTGATAGTGACTTCTTACACACCAGACACAGGCAACAAAAGTAAAAAAACAATAGACAAAACTGGGCTTTAAATTTTAATTACTGAGGTTTTAAATTTTTGTGTATCAAGAGGCACTATCAGTTATTCTCAACCTCTCTTTCACCCATGAAAGTGTCTCTATTCTAAAACTTTACTATAATACTGTCATTCTCACCCTAAAGATGACCCACTTTTATTCTATTCAATGTGTATTCCTTTCATAATAAATTCTGCTGTAACACTCACTACAACAACAAAGTACTATCAATAGTGTTGAAGGGCAACCCACAGAATGGGAGGAAATATTTGCAAGTAATACATCTAGTAATAAATAAAAAACTGACTGGAT